TCAATTAATTGAATTCTATTTTATAACAAGTCATTTATTTACTTAATTATTTATTTAACGTATTTAATAAAGTATAATCGTATTCCTTTAAAAGTTACACAATAAATAACACATCGTTACATTGAATGAAACAATTATTTTAACACATAGTAAATCTATTTAACGATAAAAGGTAAGAAGTTAATTTTATTAATATTATCTTATTACACGATATATGTTTTCATAGTAAATTAAAATATGCGAACCAGTGTGAATCTGCTTAATTTAAATTGCAAAATAATATTTTAAATATATGATATTGATAATATTGAAGAAAATTACAAAAACCCTTATTTCTAATAAATTATTTCTGATCTGATGATCTTTGATAAATTAATTTATTTAATACATTCTGTGATCTAAAAATATATTATACTTGAAAGATAAATTGTACTTTATTTAATATATTGTATTACAAATGTAGATATCGTTTATGAATTCTATTTATTAAATAAACTTGAATTAAAATGTGGTTAAGAAATACCTATATCATTCCACTCAGTATCAAAAATATATTTAATTTTTGATTGACTAATGAAACCAATATACTATTTCGTACCATGATAAATATTATAGCGCTTAATACCATAATACTTATCAACCCAGCCATTGAAATAGCTATATTGTAGTAAACTATAGAATAAATGGTATAGCTAAACCTGTAGTGAGCAACATTTGATTATTAATTTTTTATTATAGATTTTTAGCATTATCATTTAAATTTATAAGATTTGTTCCAATTATTTTATAATTTAACCTTAGCATTCTTCTTTAATTCTTCTTTAATCCTTTAAATACTTTTTATATATGTAGTCAAATTTTTTTCATTTTAAATAATTTTGCAGATAATTCTTTGCTGAAAATATTTGATCTATTAAAAATCCTACCACTTCTTAGTAATCACATATTTAATTTTTCTATTCAATACCTTTTTTGATTTTATAATTTTACTAAATTAAACTGTAATTTAAAATTTAGAAATCTTTATAACATTTTTTTTGTAATTTTTAAATTGTAAAATATCTGAAATACTTTACAGGATACTTGAATATTTTAATGACATCTTATATCTTTGTCTTCAACATTTATAGTAATTAATAGTAATTCAAAATAATAATTAATAACTGATCTCTTTAATGATCATTTAAAATACTCTAGTGTATTTTTACTTTTTCTCAAATTTTGTTTTACAGTTTTCTATTTATTTTATTTTATATCAAAATCTTCATTGGTAAAGTCGCTAATTATAATTAAAATACATAGTACATTTGTATTATACTTAAATTTCAACAATCGTCTTTTGCAAAAATTGGAAAAAGTTATTATTAATTTTTCATTTCTATTTCCTTTTACTCATAGGATTCTGTGTAAATTGCAAATCTTTTCTTAGTTATGGTTTTATATCATAGAAATAAATTTAATTCAATATTATTTTTGTACATATTTTCGGAGTTCGGTTTTAAATTAAAATAAAGATTAATCCAATAATAATGAATCATCCAAAAACTGTTTAATTTCAAATTCTTCATCTATAGTTCGATTCTTAAAAAGTAACTGAAAAAAATAGTAAATTTTAAAATATGATTCAGTGTATAAATAATGCTACACAACTAAGAAAATCGAATATCGAATTAATTGCAATCTAAATTCAGTTTTCGACATATTCTAACTTCAAATGATGGACAAAGTTTCATAATTTTATACTCATCTCATGTAATTAAAACTTTTTAATTATTATTAAAAAGCTATCATTTATTGAAATTCTTCTAATTTTATTTGAAATTATCAATTTTGATATTTGGGTGGAACAAAATTTTTAATATTATTTAAAAGAAAATATAAATACGAATAATAATCAATCCAATCAATGAGTTTCAATATTAGATTTAATCCCTTTTGATAAATTATTATCTGATTTTAGTAGCTTTAATATATTATACGGAATTTTTCTTTGAGTTTTAAAAAAATTATTTTTTAATGATTATCTTACGTATCCATAAGTATTACATTCGTTTCTTCCTATAGAATAAATCAAAACTAAATCTTTAATAATTATTATTATAATTATAAATACATTTTTTTAATAAGAAATAAAGTTGTTTTACTTTCAATCACTTTTTAAATTCAATTTTTATATTAAAACTTATACCGATTTTTTAATTAGTCAAACATTTATTGAAATTTTTAATACAATACAATTATGATAAGTATCATTGGTTAATTCATGTGAGCAATTTTCATTCATGGATGGGATAACATTTTAATTCCAGATATCCTTAATATTTCGAATGATACGGCTGCCATTTGATAGTAAGCAGATGGTAGTAAATTTAAATTGAAACCGCTTTGATAATAATGTTTCGAAGAGTTTTAAGATACATATAAAAGCTATATTTCCACAAATTATTTCATACGCAATTGGTAAATGTTGATATACAAAGCAAAAAGAGGTTTGTAATTGTATTGGATAATATATATGTTCATTCATGTGAGCAATTTTCATTCATGGATGGGATAACATTTTAATTCCAGATATCCTTAATATTTCGAATGATACGGCTGCCATTTGATAGTAAGCAGATGGTAGTAAATTTAAATTGAAACCGCTTTGATAATAATGTTTCGAAGAGTTTTAAGATACATATAAAAGCTATATTTCCACAAATTATTTCATACGCAATTGGTAAATGTTGATATACAAAGCAAAAAGAGGTTTGTAATTGTATTGGATAATATATATCTATGTTAAATCATGGAGCACGATAGCATTGTTCCAAAGTTAAATAGCATACAAAATAATTATGAATATAAATGTACGATAAAAAATCTCATTTAGAGATTTAGCCATTTTACTAATTTGTTTAAAATTTTAATAACAGAGCAATACTACTGTACAAAATGTATTCGCCGTTTCGGCTTGTTTTACCAAAGCCGATTCGAAGGATAAAAATTGATGCCGTTGACAACTGCGAGATCACGGGTGTAGTGTAATGGCGATGGAAGGTCACAAGTGGAAGGGATATTATAATAATTCAATATAAATATGGCTGGGGTACGCTGTTTATTCTGTTATTTTTCCGTTTACAAGGCTTGACTAGTATTACTCTTATTAATTATTGAAATAACTCTTGAGGTGGATTAATGCGTTGGCAGTGGCAAATCGTGCACTCGTCTATACAGCGTGATGGTTTGAATATGAATGTAGAATGGCGCGAAGTGTGGTTCGTCGACACTCGCGCTGTTTGAATGAGTATGTGCGTAGTTGAGGTTATGATTGTTATGGAGAGTGACACAAGTAACTGGTGTTACCTTGAGATATACTTGTATCGTAGCAAGCGTACGTTACTCCTTATATTGGCGTACTGCAATAAATTCAGATGGAAATAAGAGTTTGAAGAACCTGGTGAAGGATATTGCTACGTGTTCCGTTTGCTATGAGCGGCGAATGGTGCGCTGCATAGATTCGTAAACGTCAGACTTTGAACTAAGATGAGGGTTTGCCGACAAGACGTGCATGAGCTGGCGCGAGCTTGGCCACGCGTTTGAAATTTATTCCGCACTGTTTCTCTGGAGAGAGCCTCTTCGTCCTTGGTTGCTTGTCGATGACTTAATCTTTGAATCTTAGAGTTCAGTGATTATTGTAGTAATGATACTACTTACGAAGACTAATGGTAGACTCAGCAGAGGAACTTTCCTGTCCCTTCTTCAAGAAGACTGCCAGTGGACACTTGTCTTCGGACTCCGATAAGGGAATATGTCTTCGATCCTTTTGAACTTTTCTTGAAGAACTTTTCTTGTTCTTGAACTGCGTTAATGGACTTTTACTTGACACTTATTTTAATAAGTACTGTATCGAGAGTTTTTGAATATTGAAAAATGGGCCCCTTAAATACATTTGCTGATCATGAACTTCACTTGAACCCCTTCCCTTATTTTTCGTCCAATCAGTGATTCCTCCCTTACAGAGCGAGGGCAGCGTCTCTTGTGGCTTCATAGTTAATTAAGGGCATAGTCGTCTCTTGGTCATCATTGGCAAGAAGAACTGTCGTTGCCGCTGACCCATCTGGCGACAACATGACAACTTGTCGACAGCAGAGGGGGGTCGCTAGTGCACACCGTTGAAGTAGTTACCGAGCGAAGTGAATTCGTGCAGATGCCTAAATGAGTTGGATTTTCCCGTGTTTATTGTCTTGTTTTTCCAGATGTTTTATGACACTTTTGTTAGATGGTTGTGAGCAAGAGTTTTGAAATCTAAAAGACAAATTTACGTTGTTGCTTTGCCAGATGTTATATTACATTAAAAAAAGGTCTCACGATCTCGAACAAATATATATACAGAAATATTAAAATTCTGCGATTGATTGCTCAATTTTAATAAATTTTACTTTATTAACTATTCAAACATATATAGATCATATATATTTTTATAGTTTTTTTTTATTGTTTTCAAAGGTAAGTTTATTATTTATGAATAGTTTTGATTACCACATTAATTTAATATAATATTAATTTAATAAAAATTAATATAATTTTCTATTAAATAATAATATAATAGAAACATATTAAAATAATCTAGAATAAACATTATGATTTTTTAATAATTGAATTTAATTACTGTACATTTTATAATCTAAAAATCATAGGGGTTATTTTCTATTTTCCTTCTTCTCTATGAATTGTGTTCAATTAGAAATAAATATAATGTAATTGATTAAATTAATGTAAATTTACATCTATAAATTAAAATAACGTTTTTTATAGATTACCATTTCTTTACGATCATATAAATAATTATTCTCTTTAAAGGAAACTAATTTAGTCGAAGAAATCAATTGGAATGAGATACGAAATTCGTTACTACAAATATTTATAATCGACATCAGAGTTTGATACAAAATTTTTATAAGTAGGAAACGCATGATGGCGTTATGAAAATATTAATTGGTGCTCTCACTTAGAAACAATTAGATCTTCGTTTCTTTTTCTGATATTTTCTGAATTCTTTTTCTCTCTCCTATCTTAATCAGCATTTTTGTAAAAGTGAATCCGAAATATAAAATGGCCCGTTGGACGCGAGTGACAGGTAAAAACTTTTAGAGATAGCGCCGTCATCGACCGCCAGACTTTCTCCTTTGCCATCAGTGTTTCGCAACCAGTTAGCACTGAGACACAATTTCAGTGCTAGTGTCGACAGAAAAACAAATTGAAATATATTCTTGAAATATTCCAATAGTGCTCCAGCTTCCGGCTGATATTAATTTCTTGGTAATTAATTTTACTATCGTTTTTACAACATAAAAAGAGATAAAGATAAATGAGGAAAGACAAAATGACTAGAAAGCGAGAAAGACGAAGAGAAAAATGAAGAGTTACTTTTCAAATTGTAAATCGGTAGAAAACTTTTAAAAGCAGGTTAGTTCATATCCTCTGATTTATTTATATTCTAATTACCGATTATGATATTTTCTAAGCTTATTTTATATGTTTATTAGAATATTAGCATCTAAAATATACTTATATGAAAATTAACTTTATAACATATTATTATTTATAAATTCAAGGTAAAATTAATAAGATTATAATAAATATGATGTGCTTGTAAATAATTAAATTTTTAAATAAACGATAATTTTTTTAAGTTAAAGTGAGTGAAACTAAAATCAATAAATAATATAAGTTATGCATAAACTATCTAATAGATTAAGAAATTATCAATGCCGTATAATAATGTTTTTAATTAATAATATTTTTACGTAAGATCAACAAAATATATTTTTAGTATAATTCAACTTTTTTATTGTTTGCATATTCAATCATTGTAGCAGCATACAGTAAATACCTGTAAACCGTTATTATATTTATTAAGTCTTGTATGATAATTATGATCATTAAATAAGAAATTTTTTAATAATATAAGGGAATAAAAGACAATGTAAATATTTTACTTGATAATTATGTACTTTGATAATTATGTAGTTTTCCCTAATATTTGAATTACTCTACAGAAATCACCTAATAATATTGATATGCAATATTGATATGTATTATTATACATATTGCAATAACCAATAAATATAATTAAATAATAAATAATAATAATAAATGTACAGCATTCGTTTCAACAGCGGTTCGTCCAAATATATGTATATCTATAAAATAATACCTTAAATTAATAAGATTTAGATAAATATTATTTAATGAAAAATATATTAAATTCTTATTTATTATAAGTTTATTAAAATGTGAAATAGCTAATATATTTTTGAATACCAAATTACTTTTGGCAATATTGGTTTGGTTTGGTAATATTAAATTGGTACCTAGTATTGTTTAATTTTAATATTACAAATATTGCTAAAAAATATAAAGATGTTATTAAAAAAAAAAAAATATATATATATATATATATATATATATATATATATATAGAATATATATACACATATATAAAGTTTATATATATATTTGAATATAGTAGCCAATTATTATTATTAGAGAGATTCTGTAAACTATTCAGTTACTCAAAAATATAGACTGATCAATTGAAAATTTTTTTCTGTTCATTCTGCATATCTTTCTATGATACATAATAATTATTATTTATTGACAATAATATATACAACATTTTTTTAAATTTTATTAAGTTAATCTATACCAAAATTAAAATTAAAATTGGTATTTTATGGAATCTGCCGACTGTATTAAATTGTTCACTTTTATTTAATACAGTTTTCTTATTTGCCAAAATTAATTTCATCACATGATCACTGGTTTTTTGTATAAGATTTGCAAACTCGGCTATTACATCCTTATATACTCTAATTAATTATATAAATGATTATAAACCAATAAACATTGATGAAAAATTTATAAAAATATTCAACAAATTTAGTAGGACAGATAGTATTAAAATTTTGTATTTTAAAATAATCGATTATATTATATTATATTATTATAACAATAGCATATACTTGTTAAATAAATAGAAATTTCTGTTAAATAAATTTAAATTTCTAGTATTCGTCGTTAAATGAATATTTTGAATTATATTATTATTATGTATTTTTAGTACAATTACTAAAATTAAGAATAATAAGTTTATACAATTGCCTATATTTTTTAAATATTCGATTACTATTTTATACTTTCCTAATGTTTTATTTAGTTTGATAATTATCTGATCAGAAATTTTTACGAGACATTCTATAAATTATTATGCATTATGATGTATATTTATTTTTAATGCAATATGTATTGTCATAAAATTTGATCCACTTTTTTAAAGTTAAAGATTTTTTTTTACAAGAAAGAAGAAAAAGCTATATAGAATAATTTTCACAATTAAATTTAGTTTTAATAAAACTGAATTTAAAATTTATCAGTTATTCTTATTTATGTAATAGAATACTTTTACTTTTTCATTGTTATTATGTTGATTTAAACTTTTATTTACTAACTACCAAATTACAGGATTACTCTATTAAAATAAAGTATATTAGAAGTATTCATAATTAAATTTTTAATATTTATTTTCTACACAAGTAATATGTTTTAAATATAATCATTAAGAAGATAGTCCAAGCTTAAAAAAAATTAATCTTTTAAAAATTATTATGACATTTGTAAATTATTATTAAAAAAATTAATTTTTTTTACAATACTTGAATATTACATTATTAATATATTAACATACTTTTCAAAAAGATTAAGTATATATGCAATTTACATTACAAAATTAAATTCAATTTATGCGAATTTTTTTTTCTACGGTTAAATTCTATATTTAAAAAGAAAGATAAATTAAACCTACAGTACTCAATAATACAACTACTGCTATTTACTCTTTTATTGATATGGCTATTGTTTATTATGTATATTGACATGGAGTTTACTTTATTTGAAAATAGTAGAAGTAATCACTCAACACAATTAAATGTTTATTTATGCATCAGATAATTAACATGATTTTTTAATTTCTAAACGATTTATAAAATGAGTTTCACTATTGTAGGTCACTTGTTCATTTTGTCTTATTGTAAACAAATTTTTAAACTCATTAAAAATTATCATCAGTATCATCTCTTTTCCAATCAGAATAATCACTGTATATGAAATTAACATTTTTCTAACAATTACCTATAATATTGAAGATCTATAAGATTTAATCTATAATATTTAAGATATATAAGATTACAGCCAATAGTAAAAGAAATGTTGCTTATCGATAAAAAAAAATTTGGCATTGCATGAGTTGCAAAAAAAACATAAATTATATGGAATATACATCAACAGCCAATGACAAAGATATATAATTGACAAAGATATATAAATGATAAAGATATATATATATACACACCTTTAATAGATCTATAGATTATCTATAGATCTATAGATCTATTGATTTTGACAATAAGCTAGAAAAACTGCAGATTGCTCACATAAATGACGAACATAGGTAGTCGGATAATATGCTTACTTGACAGATTCATGCTAACTATTTTATAGACATTAAAATTAGCTCATATGTTTTATGAAGATATTATGTACGGCAATTCTAATTGAACTATAAGTTGTTCAGTTCATTATACAAAATAATTTCAAACCATAAGCATTTTTAATTTGATTATATACTTATCTTTTTTAAATTATATTTTAACTAGAAATCTTTTAACATAATTAATTTTTATGGATATTTTTATTTTATTATTTAATGAACTTGAATAACTTTATAAAATATTCATTGATTAGTTAAATATGTGTTATTTTTCTGCTAAATCGATAAATTAATTTATATAATAATTTATATACATTGAATTTAATTTATTTTCATTATTTATGTTCTACTTTCAAACAGTTGTATTCGTTTTACAATATGATTTTGTAAATCACTATAGTATATAATAAGTATAGAAAACAAATATAGGAAATTTTTTAATTAAGTGCATATATTTCTAAGTAAAACGTTATATGTTTATTTTTATTATGTTTAATATAAGTATCTATTTTGTATTCAAAATCATTTTCATAGCACACAAATAATTATTGCAGAAAAATCAATAACATTTTTTATATTTCTTAAATTAGTTTTTAATATAAATAAAACATCTTTTATATATTTTATTATGTATATTCTAGTAGTACAATACATAATAAAATATATTCTAAATAAATTTTAAATAAATATATTTTAAAGTCACTTTATTACTATTAGTGTCATGCTGTATGCTGATAATTGAACTTTACGCTTGTTTGTTGTATAGAAATGTTATTAACATTATTATTGGGATGTTTTTTTCTTGTATTTGGGAACTGTATATTACCAGAACCACAGTCTACATGTCCGAAAGAAAGTATATACATATATCCATGCATATGCGTACATAATAGTAATTATGGAATTCGTGTGAAATGTGAGAATACAAATTTAGCAACCTTAAGTATAGCTTTTCTTAATCTTGGAAATGAAAGACTACCCATTGAAGAACTAATCATTTATAAATGTAATATTGGTATGTTAATTTTTTTATAATTAATTTGAAAGTATATTTTTAATATCGATTGTTTCTAATATTCTTTCTATTGTTTCTAAAATCTTAATATTCTTCGATATTTTAGACTTATAAAATGTAGTTATTATTTAAAAAATGTATATAGTAAATTCAATAATATATATTTTTATTTAACTACTCTTAATATTTTCTTTCATTAATCTATTATAAAATAATAATTTTTTTATTTCAGTACGTTTTTATGGCCCTGCTCTTTATCCATTAAATGTTCGAATTCTTAAGTTCGTTGACACTCCATTAAAATTTATAGAAGAACACAGTTTTCTTGGCGTAAATCGAACTTTACAAGAACTTCATTTAATAAATAGTGTATTAGAAAAATTTCCCAGAGAAGCAACTCAAATTTTAGGAAACCTTACAGTGTTAAATATTAGAGGACATAAAATAAACGAATTGCAAAGTAACATTTTTTTAGAAAGCCTACTTGCTCACAAAATTGAACGACTTGAAATTAGCAATGGTAATACACACGTTTCTTGTTATAAATTATTAGGAGAAATAATAAAGTTTTAAATATATATTGTTATTATAGAATTAATAATTTTTAATATTCTAGGTACCTTAAATTCACTGTTAGTTGAGACTTTGAAACCGTTACAAAAATTAAAGTGGCTTGATTTACATGGAAATCAACTAATAGTTTTAAAAAAAAATCAATTTAAAGGGTTAAAATATATTGAATATTTAGATTTGTCTCACAATTTAATTAATAAGCTTGATTCTTCTCATATTGGAGATCTCACAAATATGGCATGGTTCAATTTATCACATAATGCAATTTCTGATTTGAAAAGGTTTTATATCACATAACTTAAATTTATAACATTTAAATTACAAAATTTAAACAAAATATTAAATACTTCGTCTTTTTTAATATAACATATTTATATTGAAGTAAATATTGGCACAATATTATATTTTGTTTTTAAACATACTTTAATTTTTTGCAGAGGGACATTTGCAAGAAATTCTTTATTGAAATTACTGAATTTAAATAGTAATAAAATAAGTAAAATTGATTCCAGCTCTTTCAGAGGAATGCGGTTAATGAGACGATTACATTTGAATAATAATCGTATATTCGATATCGGCCGAGGAACATTCGGAACTATGACTAGACTCGGCACAATTGATTTATCAAAAAATATGATAAAAAAAATTGATTATTTAATGTTTAACAAACTGCAGTATGTTGAGGTGTACTTTTTTAATTTAGTTTTTTGTCATAACTTAAATTATGTGAGAAATCTACTTTTGTAAGCCTGCTTTATATCACATATTAATTAGGGATGTGGCAAGATTTTTATTTCCTATTCTGTATTTTAAGTTAATTACTTCTTTCAATACAAATAAATTCATTCATAATATTAAATCATAATTAAATCATAACACGATTTTTTTTTATAAGAAAAGGGATTAATAATTTATATTTTTAATTGACTAATCGTATTTATTTAACTTATAATTTATAAACCTAACGAATAAGTCTTAACAGGTTTTTCCGGATATAATTTTTTGTCTTGAACTCATACTTTGTATCTTGTAATTATATAATCATTAGATAATTTAAAAATATATTTTTTTGGCAGGTTTGACAAAAATTATTATCATTAAATATTTTTATATAAGTTCAATTAATAAACTAAACTCATAAACTATATATATTACCTTTAACTTTAATAATTTTAAATAATTGGATAATGTATCAGTAGTATGATAATAATAGTGTAGTATTTGTTAAAACGTAGATATAAAAATATTTGTCATTATCGAAATTTACAAATATATTGTATTTAACTTAACAGTCATAATTTTATTTAGCTACTTTAGTTACATCATCGATGCAATAATCAAAATTTTTCTTCCATTTTATAGAAAGATATTGGAAAATGTTTAAAAACATATTTAACGTTTATGTTAAAGTATTTGTATGATTAAATTCAATTAACAAATATATCTTATGTTTTAGCATATAGATATATCAGAAAATCAAGTAACAATTGTTGAGAAATCAGCCTTCAAGGATTTGTATTCAACTACTATGAATCTTTCATTCAATGCTATACAAACAATCGAAAATCATGCTTTCGAAAATTGTGTTAATATTATAATACTAGACCTTAGCCATAATAAATTACAAAATATTTCAAAAATGGCATTTGACAGTGCTACATATGCGACAATGCTGCAATTAAGCTACAATTATTTGACTGCATTAAATCAAGTAACTTTTATTTTCTACATTAGAATCGACACGTTTTTTGTACAACTTTTATGTAGACAGATCATTAAAATACGTGAACAAATTATTTTAATTTGTTAACTTTGTATTAGTTCTTATCATGATATAATTTTTATAATATTGAATTAAAAATTTTCCAAATAATTAAAAAATTAACACAAAATTCATAATATAACATGTAATATAATGTAATATATACTATTAAAATTTATTACATAATTTTTATAATATTGAATTAAAAATTTCCAGATAATTAAAAAATTAACACAAAATTCATAATATAATATGCAATATAATGTAATATATACTATTAAAAATTATTATATAACATTTTTAATTTAAGAAAAATATTATCAATATTTTTTATAGAATGAATATTTTTATATTTACAGATTCCTTTACAAAATATGACTGGCTTAAAAATTCTAAATGTTTCGCATAATTATATCCAAACGATCCCACGGCAGACATTTCCGAAATTGTATGAATTACATACAATTGATTTATCTTATAATAATATATCTGATATTTATAATACTATCTTCCAAACATTATTTAATTTGAGAATGTTAAATTTATCTCATAATTCACTGAATAAAATTAAACCATCTACTTTCGGCTCTTTACCCACACTATTAGATTTGGATTTGAGTTATAATAAATTAAATGATATTTCTCGTGAAAGCTTAATAAAATTATTAAGTTGCAGGTAAACTATTTAAATTTTTGGAATATTAGAATATTTAAACACAGATAAAGTATTAAAATATATTATTCTAGTTAAAAAACAGGTTTCTTTTTTATTAAAAAAATTGTGTGTTTAGAATTGATGATAAAATAGAAAAATTCTTTAAAATATAAAATAGTTAATTATTTAAAAAGCTGCTTATAGTACCTTATAAGTTGACTATACTATGTTTTTATTTTTTTAGAACATTATCTTTAAAACATAATGAACTCAAAAAAATATTTTTGATACCGATATCGTTGGGATATTTAGATATTTCGGAAAATCTGCTTCACGAAATCCCAAATATGAATGTGTGGCCTTCGATGAATGCTTTACTATCTCTTGATTTATCGTATAATCGATTAAGTGACAATCTTTTTCACGGAAGCTTTGAGAATTTACTCAGCTTAAGAATTTTAAAACTTCAAGCTAATAATATAAATAAACCTCCCTGGGAAGCTCTTAGTTCTTTAACTAGTTTACAATATATATATTTACAGGTGAAATTTATAAGCCAACTTTTAAAATATTTTCCTGTGTATTTATCTCAATAGTTATATATATACATTAATTTTTTTAGGACAATAATTTAACATGTCTACACAAAACAGCTTTTGGTAAATTATCGATACTATTTGAATTAAATCTTGCTAATAATCAACTACATAATATAAATGAATGTGCATTTGAAGGTCTTTTACAACTTTTAAAGTTAAACTTAACAAATAATCATATAAAAAATATTCCAAATGGTGCATTCAAAGGCCTCGTATCTCTAAAAAATTTAGATCTTTCACATAATCTACTAGAAAAGCTAGATAATCAAACAAATGGATTATTAGATGATTGCCTGTCACTTGAAACAATTAATTTAAGTCACAACAATTTAGAATTTTTTACAAGTAAAACTTTACCTTATGATCCTTGGATCCCTTACAAAATAAAGGAAGTTGATTTATCATACAATAGTATGTCTGTTTTAAATGTTGATCTTACTATGGGAACTCAAAAAGTTATTTTTATGAATCTTAGTCATAATAACATATATGACATTAAAAAATGTAAGTAAAATTAAATCGATGTATTATTTTGATTTTAAATAAATAAAATAAATTTTTTATCATATTTAAAAAATCTTTCATTAATTATTTAATAAAATAATTTATTAATTTTTAAATTATAAGTTATTTTAGATATAATATATATATTCAAACAAATGTCAATATAATATATATCTATGTATAATTAATTACTGAATTCTTTTTAGATGTTCTTGGGAATATAACTGCGTTACAAACTTTAGACTTGTCTTATAATAAATTATCTGATTTATCTGATGATGTTTTCATATTGCCAAAAAATTTATCGACTTTAATTATGAATCATAATTATTTTAAATATTTTCCATGGAATCATATTGTTAAAATGTCAAACTTGTTAGTTTTAGATTTTGAGTACAATAATTTTTGCAATTTCGATGAAAATCTTATGAAGATTTTAAGAAATGGAACGAATCTCAAATATACTGGTAATTACGAGTATTATATATAGTGCATAAAATATTAAATTATTACTTTAATTAATGAATAATACATATGATCAAAAAAATTAATAACATTAATTAATTATTTTTTAATCGTTTTGCATTGAATAAAATACATTTTCTATATATAGTTTTAATTTGGTAAAAATCGAAAATATTTGGGAATAAATTATTTATACAATTCATTTAAAAAAATAATATTGTTATTTTTATTAATTCTTTAATAACACTAAATCAGCTATTTATTTAGGAAATCCATTGCATTGCAACTGCCTTGTGCGACCTTTACGAAGATGGCTCGACACGTTTACCGAGATTCCTAAAGATTGGACGAATTTAAAATGTATGAGTCCGAGTTATATTGCCCATATGCAATTGTGGGGTGTTTCAGAAATGCTAATGAACTGCAGCGATATTGATATTTTGAAAGATCCCAAATATGACGTTTCTTCCGACGTTAAATATCGAGATCTGGAGTTGTAAGAATTTTATTCTTCGAAAATACACTTTTTAAAAATGAATAAAACTTCTTTCTTCTCTCTCTAAAACGTTATCTATGTGAATATAAATAATACGTAATTGAAGTGTTATGGAAATGCTATCTTTGTTATTATTGTAATTAGAATAAGAGTTAAAATTCACTTAAATTTTATATTTATTCATCTAAAAACTTCTATTTAGTAGATTACTTATTAGACTATACTTTCAAATTATTAGTAATATTCTCTTATTCACGTATTGTTTACACATAATCTACTTAATTATTAATAAACTTATATCATTTTTAGTGATCGTGATAAAAATACATGGGAAATCTCGTGGTACGTTGTGACACGTAAAGATACCGGTGATTTTTACATAGTAGTCCGAGAACTGGAATCTAGCAAGAATATTTTTGAGAAGGACATCATTTATAAGGAGAGATCGTTGAAGATAAGAGATCTACCAGATTCCAATGTAAAGTACGAGCTTTGTATTCTCGCACGGGATTCCGTAGGAAATATAAAACATTTTCGTAAATCACAATGCAGAATACTAGATAAAACAGCTTTCAAGTCAAATAGCAAACAATCAACTATTAATACTCTACTTGCTGTAATTCTCATAGTTTTTATGAATCTTTGTTAGAAAGTTAGAATAAATTAAAATAATTTTATAGCATTATATTTGAACGCTTTTTTGTAACCATACAAGCAAGATGGAACATTTTATATATTTTTTCATATATTTCATATGTTGCTAATCGAATAAATATAGATTGTAACTTATTTATGTATAAAGATGTAAAGTATTTTATATAGAAACATCATGTAACTGTGCGTCTATGCATACACATAGGCACTTTATTCTACACGCATACACACATAAGTAGTAAATTGCATAAAATCCTCTTAATACAGTAAATAATAAGAGTACAAAGACTTAAAAACTGTTGCATTAACTTGGCTTTTTTGCCTGGATAACTTTCTTATTAGTATTCAACTATATTTTTATTAACTACTCAATGTTAAAGTTGGATTATTCAAGACTTTTCATGTAATAAATATGTACCGAAAATAAATGGCACCAAGGAAAATTCTATAACATATCGAACAAGCACGATTCAGATTTCAATATTATTCTACTGTTAATAAATAAAGTCTATTCTTTCGAAAATTCCCAGGGAAATGAAAATATATATAAGTACAGTAAGTGAGATTATTTCATTATACTATGTAACTTAAATTTATAATTAAGAGAATCTTAGCAGAAGAAAGGAGTGTTTAATGAAATTTACCTTTTTACGGAGATGTCTTCTTTAATTTGATAAATTATGAATAAAATAACATTAATAATAGTAATATGATCTTCCTTTTCCTTTTTTCGTGAATAAACGTAACGAATCAGCTTAAGAATGATAAAATATGATTGCATTTATTTTTAAATTAAAATAAATTGTTTATGCGAGTTTAAACCTTCGCATAAGAAAAATTGTTTAATTAAATTTCATTATTTTTTTTTGTGTTGATATTTAAAAATAAATAATTAAATAATTCTGTATAAATTAATATATATACAATAAATAAATATATTTTTTCTAAGTATCTACTTATATAGAATTTATTCTGTTAATTGTAAATAATATTTAATATTTATTTATTTAATTATGTATAACATAAAAATATCAAAATGCAGTGAACTATAGTATGAACTATAATACAAATCGATTGATTTTGAGAATTAATAAATATGAACTTTCATAAAATATTCTTATATATAACAATATTTATAAATATTCATGTAATTAATCGTTCGGCTATTAAATAAAAAGATATATATTGATAAATTTAACTGCAGTATCCATAATGTCAATAATGATGACCTCTTTTATTCCTATGCTTTTTAAATTTATATATTTTAATAATTATTACATATGCCTGATTCATTTTGTTCTCATCTAATAATTTTACAATAATTGTATAGCAAATATAATATTTCTTCTTAATTTAATATAATTTTTACACAATTTAATATGCATACAGTCAGATCCTTTATAGGTAGAACTCCATGTGCGCCAATACATTGATCGTATATTTATGTCTCTTGATCTCCGATTTTTTAATTTTAAAATAAAAAAATAAACATTATTTATAAGATTTAATACTAATAAAAGCAAATTTGGAAAATATTAAATAAATATTTTTTTGATTAAATATACTAATTTTTAAAGGAGTCTATTTCTGAGAATATGTAAAAATATTAATATAATATTTTGACAGTTGACAGGAGAGAAATTTAAAAAAAGAATAACAATAAATTGTTTTAATCTTTACTAATGAATTTCATAATTTATTAAATGTATGGCGACATATTACTCGCTTTCAAGGTCTGGCACAAAATCTAAGCTTAAATAGCAAGGTGGAGTTGTCGATCCACATTTTAGTGAGTATCAACTTCTTAGGTAGAATAAGAAACAGAGCAAGGGAGAAAAGGAAAAAGTCAACTAAGTGTAGTAAGTTCATGAGAAAGAGGACGCTCCCACTACCAGCGGCAATCAGTTTTCTCCATATGTGCTTTTCTTATCCGTATATCTTTTGTTGGAGTCCATCGTTAAGGCCCACTCACGTTGCAATGATGTTAGTCTCTTTCCTTCCCTCTCTCTCTCACTGTCTATATACCGCTACGTTGTCCAGAGTTGCGCTCACCGTAGATTGTTCAGTATCTTCTATGACTCTAAACTAGTAACACGTAAGTTTGTATTAAGCTTATTTCCATATCTCAGTCTTATATTTTGTAACTTTTTGTCCGTGCACAACGTATTATTCAAACTTCGAAGAAGAGAGACAAGTGATGCCAAAATAGTTGCGAATCATGGAAGTTTCACGCAGTTGAGAAAGAAACCCACAGCTGAACAGTTGAATAACAGAAGAAACCAAAAAGTCCATGTCAACGGAAAAGAACGTCATGGGTACCATCGTCTGGGTCTCACTATTATTTCTTGTCATCACGGTACATGCGAACGGTAAGTACTCGAGGTGATGAATGATCAGTTATGAAACCAAATTTCGTTCAGAGTATTATAACGCAGTTTTCTTACGGGACACTGGTCGTTCAATGAAATCATATAGTATGGTTTCGCTCGATTAAAATAAAATCTGATAATAAACTGTTGATATTGGTCCTGTTCGATAGTGTTCTTTTTCAACACTAAGTGCTTTCATTTTAGTTTGTTACATAATTAGTATATTAACAGCACATTTAAATTTTTTAATTAAAAAAAAAAAAAAAAAAAAAATCTATATATTCTTATATTTCTATTTTGTGCAAAATGAGGGATATTTATTAGAATGAATCTGTTAAGAACTATTACAAATTCAATTTTCAAGATGAAAAATATCCACTAGCATGAATATCATAAATATATTTGGCAGTAATGAATGTTAATATCAAAAAAGCAGAAATAAAACAATGTTTTAATTGTTTGCTGATCGACGTCTTTATAAATTCTGCAAATTTTATAATATGTATAACTACATATTTTAGATTTTGTATCATTGCTGATCATAATTTGGTTTAAACAGCGATTCAACACATTTACTTGTACACAAAAAACAATTTCTTTGTAAATGTAATTAGTTATAGCGTTGATTAGTTTATCATTTCAATTCAGGACTTACGATTTCATAAAAGATATAAATACAGGCTGATCCTTCGAAAACCAAAAAGAAAATTTTGTATATTGGCAAACTATGCATGAATAGGGCGCAAACGCAATTCAATGTTAGAATAAATTAATGTATAGTTATAAGGAGATTATAATAAAAATACTACAGTTCAATTGAAAGTAATTAAATAATATTCTTTTAATACGCTGCACATCTTAAAGTTATGAAAAAGTTAAATATGGCGACTTTGCTTAGCCATTCGGTATTTTATCACAAATTATATAACTTACAAATATTTTCTAAATAATGTTGATAAATTAATAGATTAATAGTAATATGTATCTATTAACCTACAATTCATCATAATATTTCATAAAACTTCATATACTATAGAAGTATGACAATTACTTTGTTATTCTGAGTAATATATAAAATTTATCTTTATGTAAGAAAAATTCTTTAATATATAATTACAAATTTATGTTTATATAAAAACTATTTTCAAGGCGTTATATCAAATTATAGTTGATATATATATATATATATATATATATATATATATAAATATATATATCAAATAAAGTTCAACAACATTAAAGTTATATGTATATTAAATAAAAAACATTATTTTCTAAATGTCAGTGGATGGTTCGATCAAACAATATATTTATTTTTCTAATATAGAAATTAAAATATTTTGGCCATTTATTCTTTTATATATTTGTCAATTATTGTTAATATCAATTAAAATTTTGAAAATGATGCCTGTTGTAATTTTAAGTACGTGTAAAAAACCCATGTGTCTGGTTTTTTTTGAAAATTAATTAAAAGATCCTGTTTTATAATTATGAAGGGATGCTTGAAAATTTTTTCAAATATAACTTACACAATATACATGATTTTTATTGTATTTTTCTTTATAATATTGCATTGATACTATTAATAAAAATTGAATAATCGATTTTTAAACTTCAAAATAAATTATTTTGTCGAATTTATTTTATAAGAGTTTAAACCCTTAGATGCAAATTACTTGTCATATAACGTTTTTAATATTAATAAAAATAAAGTTTAATATTTTTAATATTAATATTTTTAATATTTTTAATTTAAAAAGATCAATATACGAAATACAAATGAGGCCAAAGAAGTTGAAAGCTGATGTGACTCAAGGGCAGATGTTATATAAAACTATTATGAAAATTCTATTTAAATCTTACAAATAATAACATGTTTTTACATTATAAATTGAAACGTATTTAAAAACACGTGTACAGATATAAATTTCTTGTCATAATCTCCACGTATTTACACATGCAGATTACCTATTAAAAATTTTCTCGCATAAGTTTCTGTTTTAATAAATTATATATATCAGTTTTATGTATTCATTCGAAGAACCTATATAGGTTAGACGTATAGAATATGAAATTTAGTTATATGTCACAATCAATATGGTATTGTAAGACCTATTTTTCATTACTTAAAACACTTCATCCTTTATTAAAGAATATCTGTGTAATCGTCTGAAATTGTTTAAATTCTAAAACAAAGTATTTTTTTCTACGCAGAAACTATTTTATTTAATAAATTTACTACATTGTCTGAAAGAATATTTTGAATATATTGTATTCGAATTTGAATTTTTATATTTCAATTTAATTTATATTCAATAATTAGAATCACTTGAAAAACAGTAAAAAGTATTCTATCAATTATGCGTTAAATTTTTATTTATCTGATATTATTCCGGTAAACTTCTATTTAGAAACTGTACTACAATATTCTGAATATTTTTAATGTAATACGTCTTGTAATATTTTCGATCATTCAGTTTGTACATTTTGATAATATATTTTATATAAAACATATAATTATTTAAAATTTTATTCTTTATTTCTTGGTGTTTTGGCGTCATATCTCCTCATTAATCCTTGAAAGAGTTAAAAATATATTAATATAAAGGTTAAAAGGTTAAATGGAAATACGTATAAATGTAATTTACATTTGGGAAATGCAAATGAAGATATTAGGAAAAAATTCGAGAAGGATATGTGTTCGCCAATAAGAATTTGTGTTGACATGTTTACTTTTTATTTACTTGTTTCACTTTTTAATTGAAATAAATTTATATTGTTTGATAGCATATTTGAACAATTGGTATTACTTAGCATTTAGTAATTAATTTATTCGATTAATGTTTAAGAATAATTGATATAATTGAAGAGAATTGATGAAACAAGTATGATCATATACATTACATATGGGATGAAAATTTATAATAAATTCTGTTTCTTTCAAAATTAACTAGGATTATTGTATTTGTCAAAGATTTTATCAATTTAGAATTTACTACACTAAATAACAGTATTTATTAATTTCATTAGCTATACATTCTCATAGTAAAAATACTTATAAATTTTAGTTACAAAGAGAATTCAATGTTTCAATTTATTGAAATATGATATTGAATATTATACTCTGAAATATTATACTATAAGGTATTTATTGAAATACTATACTACTTCATTTTACGATGATAAAATATATAATTGAAACAGAATTTCTGACTAATAATAATAAAAAAATACTGAATGTAATAAATTTCGATTTCTATTATAATGTAATTTAAATTTAAAAAACAAGATAATAAATATATTTAGACAACTATCAAGTGATTATTATTTACAGATAATTTTTATGTTTTTAATTTACAATAATTTTTAATCAGTGTATCTACATTTGAATTAAGTTATAAAAATTTCCGTTTTCACTTCCTTAATTTTTTCAAAATGAAATTTTTAAATTTTGTGTTCTGAACGTAATGATTTTTCAGATAAATATTTGAGTAATAAATAAAAGTGAAAGTTATATTGCATTATAAATAATTAAAAAATATTTAATTATTATTAAAAAAAAAAAGAGTGGAACTTTATTTAATACATAGACTGCATATTATTTAAACAAATACATAAGTATGTTATGATATAAAAAATTAATATGAAAATTATTATTTTGTAAATGATATAATGCAATAGTACGCTTAAATATATAAATATTATTTAATTATACAGTTTGTGATAAAAACTTATATACAATTTTATAAATAATTAATTCATAATAAATTAAACATTGTAATTTGAATGTTAATAGAATAATGTATAATATATGTATTATATTTTTAAATTATAATTGATAGAAGTTCTGTAATATCTAAATAATATCTTAAACTATTTTTAATTTCTCAAATAATGTATAATTTAAAGTTTTAGGAGCTATGAGCTAGGCTAATAACACTTAAGAGTAATATAGTGAAAAGTACAGAATTAAAAGAATTAAATTCGAACTCGGTTTTTCTTATAAATAAAGTGCCTTATGAAGTACATAATAAAGGCTGTTGTTAATATTTGAAAAATAAGGGATGGAAGGACATTTACGATTATATTAAATATCTTTTATTCGACACTAATTGAAGAAATATGTGCCTTACGGAGGGCTTGCAGCAGTTATATACAAACTGAGAGGTTCAATCCAAAGAGGGAATAAACGGGCAAAAGAATAGTCATAAGAAATCGCCCTATACTCTTTTAATAAAAGCGTGGGCAAGAAAAGATCGTTGAATCATGGAATCTTCATTGAAACCATAGTTTTCAGATCGATACATTTCTCGACTCCTTCTATTTTATTTATTAATACTTTTGTATTCGAAAGTATATAATTTTTTTTTATAAAAACATACTAAATAACCTTTTAATTTGATGTTAATTCCAACTACAGAAATAACGAGTCTCATTACGGATAGTACATGTTTGTTTTTCGATTTTGATATCCTTAATATTCAATATTGTAAGTATATAGAAACAAATAACAAGTTACTTACAGTGTGTTTTAAACTGATCTAAGAATTTTTAATGACGTGCGCTTATTTTCGAATAAAGCTAGCTACTGTTATATCGTTAAAGTATAAATGTGTAATATAATAATTTTTACAATGTGACCTTGCATTTATATCTTTTTAAATGTCATATCACCGTTGATTCATAGTTTAATAATATTAATTATTTTCGAAGTTCTTGATATTTTAATGCAGTATAATTTCAAGCGCAATGTGACAGAATTGAAATTATAAAATTCATAAATTATAAAAATAAATGTGTCTAATAATATTTGTATTTGAAACATTAGATAATATATCTTATAAGAGATTATATATAATATATCTTATATCAGATAATATATAACAATAAAGATAATTTTAAATATAATCCCTGTTCTGTATAAATCATTTTATTGAAGTTTTGATTGCATTTATTTTTACTAAACTAGAATTTATTAATGTCTTTAAATAAATATAATGGATTTCTGTCTTAATCATAAATATTGTTATTATGAATTGTTTGGAATTTCAGGCACCAGAATGGTCCGAAGACCAAGGTGGGTTGGATTAGACCATACCACCGGTTTAATGGTGATGGATAGGGGATGAGCGAGAGGTTAATGCATCAATTTAATGTAAACACAATTGGTTGTAGTGACTTTTATTTAAGGTTATGTTACATTGGTAGTTATTGTTACCGATCGTTATGACAATTGTTGAGCTTGTCGTGAATTTAACAGTTGACAATAACTGTAGAACGTCGTCCGAGAGTGCAAGGTGAGGCTGGTCATTTCATACTGTAGGCGCTTTATTGTATGTCGAGTCGCTGCTATTAATGATATTAGGGGCGGGCTTCTGGGATGCATAGGTTGTTATCCTGCGTTGGTTGTTTAGACCACAATTCAGGAGTGTGCAACCATGAAGGTCCTGTCCACCACAGTGGGTGGCTTATGAGTTGTGTTGAGGTTAATCCGCGGGATGCACAGTCGGCATGGTTTGATGTGCCTGGAACATATTTCCAGTGGGCATCAGCGGTAAGTTCTTGTATTTCAGTGACTCTGTTCCTCACGAAATCATTCCAGCGCGATGCATGCGTCATTATCCAGGTAATGGTTACGCATGAATCTGTCCATAGGTATGTAGTTCTTGTCTTTATCCTTAGCGTACCTTTTACGTATCAACTGAGTTTTGCTAGTAGTAGTACTGCCGCTAATTCCAGTTTTGGAATTGTGATCCGTTTGAGCGGGGCTACCTTGGTTTTTGCGCAAACGAGGGTGACTGCGGGGCCATTTGAGTTATAGGCGACGAGATAGATGACTGCCGTCACTGATAGTTGCGAGACATTAGAGAATCCATGCAATTCTATTGTAAATATACCTTCAGTATGGAACCATCGTGGAATTCTGATTTTGTCGAGGTCTTACAAGTTTTCTCTGGTGCTACACCACTGCGCGGTTACATGATGTGGTAGTGGATCGTTCCAACTGAGTTTGAGCAGCCACAGTTCTTGTAAAATCATTTTCACTTTGATGGCAATTGGTGAAAGAAATCATAGTGGGTCAAAGATTTTCGCGATTTCTGACAGCATCGTTCGCTTTGTTATACTGTTGGGATTGTGGTAAGGAGTCATTGAGAATGAGAAAGTATCGGCATGTGAGCTCCATTTAATCCAAGTATTTTTGTATCGCAATCGTCAAAGTTAATTATTGCCTCCTAGGTTTGGTTCTCCTGGATGGCTGCGAGAACTTCTTGCCTGGTCGAATGCCATTTTGCTAGTGGGAATTCACCCGCCGTGCAAAGACTCTTCAATTGAATTGCAGTTTTAATTAACTGTTGCGGGTTGTCGGCTCCCCCGAAGATGTCGACATATCGACCGTGTATGATGGATGGCACTGCCAGAGGAACCTTTCTCCTTCATCGTCTACCAATTGAAGTAATGTTCTGACTGTTAAAAATGGTGCTGCTCTTGTGTCATATATTACGGTTGTTAGCTGGAATGGTACTTCCCTGTTTTTGTCGTCGACCCCCAGAATTCGTTGTAAGTCCCAGTAATCCTTGTGAACTTTGATTTAATTGTTCATCATAGTAATGTCTGTGGAAAAAAGGTACTTGTGTGTGCGTATCCAGATCAGCACATCGGAGATTTCGGGGCTCAAATTGGGTTCAGTGTGCATAATGTCGTTGATTGAAAAGTCTGAACTGGACTTACTGGATCCATTGAAGACTTCTCTTAATTGGCAATTGTTGGAAGCTTGGGCAGGCGGTTAAGGCATGTGGCTGTTCACAATATGTGCATTTGACAGTTTGGAGGGGGGGGGGGTGACCTTGGGAATTTGTACAGACGGAAGGGTGGTACATATTAGCTGTTCTTCTTGCTCTTGGTTGTGCTGTTGAAAGGCTTTCTGTTGTTGCAGCTCGTCTCTCAGCGTCACTCAGCGCTCTCACTTTCGTTATTAGAAACGTATGTATCTGCTCGAACTTGGGATACTGATTGGATCTTCCTAATGATTCCTCCCACTGTTCTCTCGTACGCTGAGTGTGTTACTGCGTTACCTGATGTAAAATTATACAATCCCACGTATCTTCTTTTAATTTCAATTGTCACAGCTGATTCAGTAAATCCCTTGAGTCACGAGCGAGGTCTTCTACTGAATCAGCCTCATCTTCTACTCGTGATGTGTTTTCAAAGATTTGCTTGAGGTAGGATTCTTGGATCTTTATACTTTTCTATTAGTGCTTTCCACGCTGCTACAAGGGATCCATATGTGATCGGAATTTTTTCAATAGTTTTGAGCGCTATTCCTTGAAGGGAGTTTTTTTATGTATTGTAACTTTTGCATCTCGCTGAGCTTGTTGTTGTCTAAGATGACTGTTTGGGTTATATATCGGAAGGTTGGCCATGCAAAGTAATCGCCAGAAAAATTAAGAAGTGAAAAATCTAGAAGGCACAACAATTAATAACGTTTAATTTAAAATTCCTTTTTATAATATTTCTTTGATTATATATAATAATGTACATAGAGTCATTTTAATATTATTTCAGTATTTTATTGCATATTAATTTATTTAAATTTGTAAAATATTTTTTACTGATATTGAATTATCATGTAATTATTTTTATTTTAATATTTTAAGGAAAAACACAAAATTTGTTAAAGAATTATTTAAATTACATTATAAGTAATAAACTTGTTACCATACAAAATTACTATTAATTTATTTATTAATACTAATTTATTTCATCAATGTAATCAACTGAAAAAATTTGAAATACCTTTAGAATGATTACAGTACTTATGGCACAAACTTATATGATATATATTAATTTTAATCTACTTACTTTACTACTCTATAAAAAAAGATCTTTTTATAAATCCATTAAAATATTCGTAGGAGATATTTTTAAATATTTCTAAAGAATTTATAATTCGAAAATACTTTATACAATAAATGTATTTTTAAATAATTCTTGTTATGGCGTGCAATCAGTTTACATCAGTTTACAGTTTACGTTAAAACACTTGTACAGTAAGAATTATGTACAGTACATGATTCACGAATGCACTCCCTTCAATGTCAATTACGTGTATGTTATTACTCGTAAGTACTATCCCGAAGAAATCAATATTTTGGATCTCGGCGACTATTACTCATTAATAATTATAAATTGTTTAAGTTATAAATTTGTATATTCTAAGACATTTCTAATTTTTAACAAATTGTCAGAATTTATTTATATTCAAAAAATGATTAACTTATAAGAGGAATCTTAAAATAATGGTAAATTTTACCTATTAAATATTTTTGTTAACATTTAAATTTTTATATTTTTTCAAGCTATTATGTTATCATAATTTTACTTTTTTACTTTTATTTTTTAATCATATCACTATTGTAAATTAATTTATATTTCAATTTTTATGTTTTCATTACAAAACATTTTTTTTCTTCATCATTAAATGAAACTATTTTTATGTATAAAAAATATTTATAAATTGAGCATTTTACTGCAATATATTTACTATACTATAAATTTAAGTATATAAACAAGTATTTTATTTTCAGATATAAATAAATAATTAAAGTTATGCTTACTCTTAATAAGCTTGCTTTAAAAATTGTAATTAATTAAAATATTATAATTGATATTAATTAAAAGCCTCACAAAATAAAAAATAATATATAGATGAATAATTATAAAATTGCAGAATGAAGTAAATTGTTATTTAATTGTTATGCAATACACTTTTTCTATTTGCCTTTTTCTTCACGAGAGTCAAGAATAATAATAAAAATTAACATTAAAAACTTTTTTTTAAATTACTATTTTTATATCCACAATACAAATTTATACAAATTGATGTTCTAAGAAATCCCATTATTCAATCAAAATAAGTATTGGAACTTGATTACTTGAATAAAATTGAAGTATTATTAATCAATATAAAAAAATGCTTTTTTAATTTAAAGTAAATATTTAGTATACAGACAATTTTTGTTAAAATTAAGTACAATTGATAATTAAGTAATTACAATAATTTATAATATATATTAAGACATGAAAAAGTGTGTACAATAGTAAATTTTTTTATTCTACATAAAATCGCTGTCTTTATATCTTTATGTTTAATAATCCATATAATTATATATTGTTATAATAATCCATATATTTAATAAGTAATCATACAAACAACTATATAAAATGAGAGTCTTTAAATTAAGAAATAACTGAAGTAAAGTATAAGCTCACGATTCGGGAACAAAGGACAGGAAAATAGAATACTTTTCATACTTTACATAGATCTTAAATATTCTTCGGTTATTTTAAATGAAATTTTGGTAATACTTAAGTAATATAGAGAGATATTCACATTTAATGTACTTGAACTGTCATTAATATCGATGTTCAGATCGAAGACAAGCCTTCTTTTACATAATTGAAATGCTCATAGTCATGCAACCTTTATTGACTAAAAGAGAGAAGTACTTTATTTTTGCGTTGTTCCTTTTCGCTCTCAGAAAATATTCATACAATCCAAACAACAAGCAGTATTATTAATCCAAGTGAGAATTCGACTTTAGTTATTCTTTGACAGTAATTCTTTCTGTAATATTCAGACTTGTTCCACTCGATGCCCACATACTCCTAATTATTTATTTTACCTTTTTTGTTACAGTACAAAGTAAAGTAAAATGTTCAGATCACATGATGGAAGTCGAAATCATAGGGATCACATTGCAAAATCTTATATACCTTCAACAGCTGAAAAATTATCCCGGTAATGTATTTTTCAACAAAAATTATTTGGTATTTATTACCTTTCTTAGTTATTCAAGAAAATTTATGTTATACTTATATATATAAGTTTATTAGAAATTCATTACGAATAAATATTTTTTTAAAAATCAATTATCATAAAATGAAAAATATTATTTATTACATTTAAAAGAAATAACATTATGTTAATGAGAAAAAGTTAATATTATAGAATCAAAATTTGAATTTTTTCTTTCGAACCAAAAATTAATTAATTTCTTCAAATTGTTAAAAAATTCTTGAATTATAAATACATCAATTTCATTTTTCTAAAATAGCATCGAAAATAATTTCTAGTAAAAAATTCTAGCCATAATTTGTAGTAAAAATAAAAATTTTGTGATATTAAAATAATTCTATTATTTTATGTTAATTATGGACATAAGATATGGCCAAAAATTATTGTATTAGGTCGGGGCGAGGTGAATTGTTGATGCATTAAATGCTGCTACCAGAAAAACATAGAACAACATAGAAAATAACATAATTAAGTAATTCATTATATATTGAAAAAGAAAAAGAAAGGAAAAAGAGAGATTTCTGATTTATGAAAGTTATTGAAGGTCTGAAAAACATATACTTTGTCATTAAATATAGGAATACCTGTTACAAAAGATTTATAAAGTATGGTCATTCTAATTGAAAGTAATACTGAAGAATCAAATAAACAGATGTCTTGTCATTTTAAATAAAAACACGATATTGGAAAATATATATATGGTTTGTAAAACTAATACAATTATTTAATAAATTTGATACATATTGTATTATTCAAGTCATTCTCTAAATTACTACTTGTAACCTTTATAATCTTATTAAATAATCAAACCTAAAATAATTATTTACAACAATTAACAATTGAACAATTAATATTTAATGCCATCAATGTATATCATTTCGGTAATGATTTAAAGCTGAATAATAAAGATGGCCTTCATACTTATATGGTATTATTTACGTATCTGTAAACTTGTCTAATACATTGTAATGGGATAAAACATTAGTTTCCCTTTTCATCGGCAAATATTTTCAAATTATCGTTATTAATACCGCGCATCGAATTGATTGAATCTAATAACAGCCGTATATCATAATTTAATTTTTTGTTAATTTTTTAAGACTGTAGTTATATGCAATAACACAAAAGAATACGCATTTTTTATTAGAATACGATCTCACATATGCATAGTACAGATTTTATGATTACTTTAAGAAATAAATAGCATTACTAATATTGAATAATACTGTCAGATGTACGCAATATTACACAGTACCGGAAATATTTCGTTAGAGCCTACAGAAGTTAACATTTTTCATTTTTAACCGTTTATCGTTAACACTTTATTTGGTATTAATTATTGACTATTAATATTTGGTACAATTTATGTGTTGATATATATATTTTAAACTAATAATTACATTTAAATTTTTGATCGATTTTTAATATTTTTGCATAAAAATTTAAAAAAATATTACTTAAATTAACTAAAAGTAATTGATAATAATAAATATAAAATAATTTATTGTATATAAATTTGTATAATTGTCAAATATATTTTTAATACTTGTAATCATTTAATTTTGCAATTTAGAGAAAATATTATTTTAAAAGATATATTGAGTTGTAATCAAAAAGAAATTTAATATAAAAAGTAATTCAGTAAACTTCATAAAATTAAAAACAAAAACATTTCAATTTTTTCTTTAACATTTTATTCAGATGTAGTATGTTGCATATGTTATATTTTTAAAACAAAATTTAAAGAAATATACAAATATTTCGTGCAATTCCAATGATAATACAAGTTAATAAAAACAATTATTTTAATTAATAACATTTCACGGTGTGCTAATTTTAAAAACTAGAAGTACAAAGAAAAATGTGACAGATGCGAAAAGCTATGAGTGTGATACGAAAGAAAGTCTGTTGTGTGCGTAGTTAAAAAAAAGTTAGTTATACTGTTATTATATTAGTTACATTATTATTTTAATATATGCTTAATAAACTATTTGTCAATTTGATTATAGCATAATATGAGTTGTACTTCAATAAAATTTGATATATTTAATGTTTTATTTCTAGTTAAAATATTTAACTTGATAATATTTTCACCATACAAATATCAACTTTTTGCAAATTTTTAATTTAATAAAATATTCATGAAAAGAAATATATTATTTTATACAAAAGTAGTTTATAAAATTTATTCTATATAATTAATTTACCTCACAATATATATTTAACGATATAAAGAAATAGTAATTAATAAATTGTTATCAAATTTATTATAGATTATTTTAGTAATTTTAATCGATATGATGAGTGATCAATTAAAATATTTCAATACATATTACTGAGAATTTTTTGATACATATATTTAAGAGTTGCTTTATAAATATTGTACAAAAACCAATTTTTCTAATCGATAGTAACTCTAATTACTTTATTTATTATTGTATATATTTCAAATCTATTTTTAATTGTATACAAATTAAATTAAACATAATTGTTTAATTTAAATAAATTGCTTTCTCGATTCTTCACTACAAAGAATCTAATAGAATATAAACGAAGGTATAAGAAATATAAATGTGCGTCATCGTTTTTGCATTTATAGACGAAGCTTGTAAGCCAAAATTCAGCAATGGTATAGCGACATTTAAATTGTCACTGATGGAAAAGGATATGTCACATTGCGGAATCATGAGAATAACTAATAAACTCACAGTAAGTATTCGCATATATTCAATTCCTTGATCCACATACTCTCCATTTTTCGTTTAATACATGGAATCGCGTTTATTAATTATAAATAAATACTAAACTCTTGAAAAGAAATATGTGTTCCCGTGATCAATATTTTAAATTTAAGATTATATTACTATTTTGTGTCTCCCTTCTTTGGTAAAAAAATTATTTGAGTGATTAAATCAAAGAAATGCGTCAAATGATTAATTAATTTAAGTTGCCTACTGTTATTTGATGCTGCGATAAATTACTATTTGTGTTTAAACCGAAGTTTTTGGCAGATTATGAAAATAATAAAGATAAATCGAGATGAAGTATATCAGGTACTTTCAAACATATTTGAATTCAAAGTAAATAATTTTAATTCATAATCTGCACAGGGTCAGAAAGTTTATTATCATCGGATAATAGTGGAAAAGCCGTCCAATTCTAGCAAGATCACATTTATTGCTAAATGCAGCATCACGGATGTTGTCGTTCAAAAGCTGAAACTCATAACGAGAACAAATCATACAGTAGTAGCAAAGAGAAGCGTGTTGCCAGAAGATTTTGTAGCCGATGCGTGAGTTATTTTACACTTCTTTCTCATGTTCTCATCTTTCTTCTCTTTTTATAATTTTAATCAATATTATGTGCATCTATGTACATTGATAACACTGAGTATATATAAATAAATTTGAAATTTCTTTCTTTTCTAATTTTAATAGAAGAAAATTATTATAATTGAACCGTGGGAAATGCGATAGGTTTATAAGACAAAAAAGAGACAGAGAGCCAGAAAGAAAAAAAAGAGAAAGTGTTGTTGATATTGATAGTTTATTACTTAGTATTGTTTGAAAAATATACAACAGGTAAGAATGAGAAAAGAAAAAAGTTTATATGTATTTATGTAAGTACTTAAGCAATGCATACATACAGGAGATGAAATCGGTCCTTTTTAAAACTTTTGTATAATAATACCGTAATAAAAACGACGTTATAGTTGAATAGATTATAATGTATACGATATTGACAAAAATATTAAAAAATTTTAACAAGTTTCGTTAATTGTTTATTTTTTTCAATGAATTCAGATGTACTACCTAGAATATTCTTAGAGATTTTCATGTTTTAAATATACGTATTGATTGTTAAACTATAAATGATAAATGAATATTAAAATATAATTCCTTGGTACTTGAAAAATTAATTTATAAGTACTTAATTAAAATTTATTTATTATGAATATATTTTTTTAAATATTAAAAAATGAAAATGTTTAAAAAAATTTTTAGGAATATATATGTAACAATTTAATAAAATGTTATTATTAATATAAAAATTTAGAGAAAAATATTAGCACTTATAATTAAGGATGAGTTATTTTTTATAATAAATAATTTTATACATACGTTTTATAGATTGCAGGTGTTATTATTTTAAAATAATTATAAAAATACGTAATATATATTTTTAAGACATCTAACTATAACTCAATTTTTCATTAATTTTTTAAATTACTTTGTCAATTCAATAATTAATTTAAACCGCTTACTTATAAGTTTCATTTATATATTAACTTTTAGCGATAAAATTAAGACGTCAATTTTAAATGGGAAACGTACATTTCATTTACAACCAAAACGAAAAAAATAAACCGACAATGAAAATGATGAATCACAGATGAATATAATTTATACATTCAGAAATATTCTAAAAAGAATAGGAAATAACCTAAAGAATAATTGATGTTTATTTGAAATCAAAATATACTTTTGCGATACTTGAAAACTAAACTGTTATACATAGGATGTCTCGAGTGACGTGAATCAGTGATTCGACTCTTTCAAGTGCTAACCTTGAGCCAATTTGATAATCATTCTTTATTCGAACAATATCTTGAACAACTTTTGAATTAGCTAGCAAAAATTTGTTTGGCTAAAGATTCATAAAAATAAATATCACACAAATATATGTGTGGATGCGTGTACGTATATATTTAGAGATTGCAGCATTTATATTATCTGAATTTACATTATCTTATTTTCTGCAACAATTACACATAGCTATATTTATCTATATATTTTTATTATCTATCATTATTATCTATATATTTTTAATATTTTTACTTATATTATATTTTACTTAGAATTTTATATGAAAATAATTATAATTTATTAAAAACTTAATAGAATATCATAGTTCATATTATAAAATCCTAATTATAATATAATATTATTATTAATTTTACTTAAAATTCTATAACATTTAATTTTGAATAATATTATTAGTTTAAACAACCAAATACCGGTATCGATAGTATCTGAAATTTATATAATAATATAAAAAAATAAAAATTATTATACATACTATAAATATGTAAAATTCTATTAATAAACTTGAAATATGTCCCATAAGAATTACAATGATTTGTAACAAATGTAATATATACAGACTATTTAGGAAAAAACCAGACACAAAAATATGTCAATTATCTTTTATTCCACATGTCAAAATAATCTTTTAATCTTTTTATATAATAGGTTATCCAAATATGCAATTTTGTCTCTTTATTTATAAATGCAAAAAAACATTTAATTTTATTTATTTATAATAACAATCAAGGGTTTAAATGATTTATGATTTATAACTAAATTTATAATTTAGTTTCTAACATTTCTGTTTCAAATATTACTGTATGACTTCGAATGTGTTGCTATACAATACATATTTGTTATATTTGCAATTACACAAGGTATTCTACATACGCCTCTTACTAAATTAACATATTTCCAAGGATACTTTTGTTAGCCGATATAATTACATTTATGACTGATATTATGTTAAACGGTATATTATAATTTATAAATATAATTGTATATACAATATATATAATAATGTAATTAAATATAAAATAATTTAATAGAACACAAAATTTTTCTTTATATGTTTATTATATGTTTCATTCTATAATTAAATACTAATATATTGATGAATTGAACACACGACATTTTATTTAATTCGAATGAATATAGATATTTGAATTAATCAAATAAAATGAATAAGAATCTATAACTGAAGTATAAATTACTACACATACACATGTATATATATTAAATAAATTTTGCGTAGTTTAAAAATATTAAGAGATATAATTTCATAATTTATTATTAATTTATAAATTGAAAGTAATATTTTGTTTAAAATTTATACGTTAAAATTAAATCCGATTGAAATTATTTTAAGTTTTCTATTAACTTAGAAACTTCTTGAATTAATTACTCTATAAATTTAGTTTATTTGTGTATTATGTAAAAATTATAAAAAGAAATAGAGAAACTTATATTTCATTTGGTTTTATAGCGAGGAAGAATTTATAAGGAAAAAATAAAAATAAATTAGATTTACATAAATAAAATATGTTCGCGTTATGTATTAGGCACATAACCTGTTGAGCCTAATGTAGGAAAATGGTTTTATAGAAGGCATCGTAATAAAACTCAAATCTAATATATAATATATAATATATTACTGCTATTTTTATATACTATTTCATATATTTCATTGAATTTACATTAATTGATCTAATCCTAAAAAAAGTCTACCTAAAAAAGAGAATAGAAAAAATGATAGTCATAATTTTTATACTTTACTATGTATAAATCAGTCCAATAAATTTTCATTTATGCGGGATAAATTTACAGTAAAAGCTTTCAATTTTGTATTCATAAATAAATAATTTTTAAAGTAATATCTTGGATATTTTATTTTTAAGGAAAAACTTTTGTTTTTCATAAATTTTATCACTAATTTTACAATTTTTTCTTTTTTTTTAGGTTTCATCATATAATTAGACAAAAACTGTATATTTCAATTTTTGAATTCTAGAAAACTGAAACCAGTATATTGTAATTTATAACATCAAATAGCTGCAAATATGTACGTATAACTTTTGAAATTTGTAATTTAAGTATATGATAGCAGCAAATATTTGATAAACATATATATTTATAAAAATATATACAATAATTTTTAAAATCATTTTGCCTATTTTCTTTGACCATATTTAGATTTCCAAATAAAAATTTTTCCTTGTATCATATTATACGATTTAATACTTTCAGTTCATTTATAAATGATCGTAATTAACTTTGCGAAAGAAGATTAAATTATTAGCCATATATAAATAAATAAACAAAACCAAGTAATTTAATTCTGCTTCAATTTTGATAGTAAATTCTGTAGAATTCTGTAACACAATATTTCATTATCTAATTTACCATTTCGCGCGCGTACACACATACACGCACACAAACACACACGCACACACACACACACACACCATATATATAATGCAATAAAAAAAATTCAGATTTACCTTACTGCATTTTCTATAGAATTAGTGAGAATTTAATAATGTTAAAAGATATGATTAGTAAGGGTAATTTCATTAAAAAATAGTTTAAGAACTATAACCTTTTGTTATATTTTTTGGAGAATCGTATATTAATTACATTTAAATAAAATCGTTTAAATCTCTATAAAAATGCATATCTAAAAAAATTCAAATAAAGTATTAGAATAAAATAATTACATCTCTTTTTTTTTTAATAAAACTGCAATTATTTATTTTATTTTATATATTTTAACTTATTTCTTTATTAATTAATTTAATATGCAATATTTTTATAGCTATTTGAATATCGCCTTAAAATATTAAGTATTTATTATTTATCGTACACTCGTATACTATAGACTAAGAATACGTCATTTTATATTATTTATTGCAAAGAGTTGTTATTATATTTATAAAATTATATTCATCCCCATGATAACAAGCATATTATAAGACGTCAATTAATTACTTTATGCATCCACGTAGCACCAATTCGAATAACAATTAAAAAAATGAATATACAGTTTTGTTTCCACACAAACTAAATCTTAAAATTCGAACAAATAATTTGTAATTTTAATAATATTTAACAAATATTATTTAGTAAAAGCTGTTTACTATGGTAATAATAACATTTTGTATGAAACGCTTACTGAATATCAAACGATGATTCTACAAGTACAAAATTATATGTATTATAAATAAAAATTAGCAATCATAGTTCAATTTTTATATAAATTTATTCAAAATTACACTTTCCATATATGTATATAATATATAACAAAATATCATAGAGAGAGAAGAAAAATTTCTATTCTATTTCCTAAATAATGATCGCCGCGCTTTATGCATAAAACAAATGCATTAGTATTATGGTTAATGGTTGAAAGGAAATAAAGATGCATGCACATTAGTGACCTTGCATTCTTTATACAAGCATTCGTTCATCGGAAAATTCATCAGTATTTATAATGCCGTTTCGGTACAATATACATCGCATCTACAAGTATAATTAATATTCAAAATCGGGGTATAATATCAAATGCTCCCCAGTTAAGATAAGAATGATCTGATATTTCTAGCTAAATATCTGATGTCAATCTTATTACTGACAATTAAATCCATATTGTTCATAATGAATTGGAAGTTATTAATAGTGTTAATTAGGACATTAATACCATTTATTTTTAAAACTCTTATCATTTAGAGGACTCCAAAATTCTACAAACTTAATCACTTGTTTATTACTGTTTTATAAATTACTAATTGATATAGAAATACTCGCAGTACTATTATTAACAATATTTTTATTCCGTATATCTTTAGTTACTCATAATTGTTTTATTTTTTAAAACATTTTTTCAATGTTAATCAATTAAATAAAAATATATGATATTTAAAGTTTTATTGAATACTATCTTTTTAACTTATTTATGCTGTAATTCATGTAAATATTTAGAGAATTAGTGGTTCATTACTCAAATATAATCAATACTAATATTAAAATAAAAATAGATATTTTAAGCAATTTATAGCTGATGTTATATTCAATGCAATTAAGAATAAAGTAATATTGAATGTATGGCAAAATCTGAGATTATACTTGTTGAATTCTACGCTAAGATGTATGGATGATTTAGAGGTTTCAAAATTAAATTAATAATATATAAATCGTTAAAGATAATTGATTAGATATCGACGTATTTACTATCTTTTATTTATCTTTTCCACCGAAATGAAAAATAAAATTTGACTAACATTGTAACGTATCATATGAACATTCAATGTAAAATAATTTTTCTTCGAAAAAAAAGTTCTTTTAAACAAACTTTATAATTGAATAAGAACAATATTAAATGATTTCAATGCTTGAATTTTAATTTATTCTTAAAAATAAGGATTATTTCTAATTATCGGTATTTTAAGTTAAAAAAAATTATATTACTTAGTTATATTTAATATAAATACTGCACGAACTTTTTATAGAATTTTACTACTTAAATAACTTGTATTATTTTTTTCAACAAATACTAATAATTTAATTTAATAATTTAATTTATCTATTATGATGACAAGATGAAAATAATACGATTTTTAATTTTATTACAGAAATACACCAGTGTTGGGAATGCTGGAAGGTAATGCATCAGAGCCAAAGTTGTTGTTCAACGTCAGACAAGGGAATAAAATTATTAAGGATGAATTAGTTGTTAAACCCGGTACACCATTGCAAATGGAAATATATTTGAGTGAGGAAGCAGCTAAGGTTTATGGACTGTTAGTAACTCATATGCAAGTTACTGACACGAAAAGCCAAGAAGAAACCATCATTTACAATGGGTAGACAAGAACTAGCAATTTATTTAAATATATATATATATATAAAACAACCGAAAGCTTTATCAATCTGATATTTGATATTTGTAAAGTAAACAGTATAATAGTAGAAGGTACACACTTAATAAATTACAGAATCGTGAACAATAAAAAAGTGATAAATTTGATATTTTATTGTTTTTATTAGAATAATATATTTAATATACAGACGCGTTTTTATAAATTATTAGATATGCGTAAATTATCTCTTACTACTTTCTTGTTAGTATGCATTATTGTATTTGAGCAGAGCTGATCATATCTGCATTTTTAACATCTACTAACTTAGGCGAATAAAAAGTTGCAATATTTCGTAAAGATCGTATTCGGTGTACAAATGATGATTCGCTTAAAAAGCAAGTTGAAAACGATTCATATTAAAAATGAATACAATTTTTATTTTCAGATGTTCAGTTGACCCCTACCTCTTTGAAAATTTCGAGACCGTAAACGGTCATTTTTTGTCGGCCAAGTTTCGTGCTTTCAAGTTCCCGGAAAGTAGTTACGTACAGTTCCATGGAACTGTTACTGTCTGCGTGGGAAAATGTCGTGGGGTAAGTCAATTACGACGTACACGAATACATAAATTTACTTCTTTCCGTTTAAAACAAATGCCTAACTTATTTAGTTTATAGAATCCAAAATTTAGATTAAAAAAATTTTTAGACCGAGATTTTGTTTAGTTCAAAATTTTCTTAATAAAAAATTTATTAAACACTGAATGAAAGTGTTAAATTTATTGTATGTTAAATTAGTTTTAATAAAAAATCGACCAATTTCGCTTCGAATATTATAAAATAAAATGATATAATGCAATTAATAATAGATTTTTTAAATAAAAAATCATAATTACATTCAGAAATTTATAGTACTCCAATTTTTATTGATAGAGAACTGTAATAAGACTTATCAAAAAGTACGATATACATAATATAATTACTTTATTTAAAGACTTTGCAACTACAATTATAATTATAAATGAAATCAAGGCTGATATTCTGTAGATAGAAGAATATGTTCTAATTTGAAAGAATATCTTGAAAACGAATATTCTAGTACAGCCTTTTTTATATGGCATTATATGATAAAATTATAAAGTAATTATATTGTATTCTTTATTACTTCTACAAATATGTTGTGGATTTAGAACTTGTTTCTTTAAATTTTATTTAAATTTCATTTAAATTGCGGATTTAAAATTGCTTGTTAATTTCACAAAATGAATAATATAATTGATAAGAACTGAATTCAAAATTTTTAGCACTTTAAATAGTATATAATATATATGCATATATATATAAATATAAATATGCAAATAAAAATGCATATATATATATATATATATATATAAATCAATTTAAATTAAAAATAAATTTATAAAAATAAAGAATTATTTCTTGGATACTATAATAATTTTTAATAATATATAAATACTTAAAATTTTATGTTATGAATAAATTTATTATTAATAAATTAAAACAATGTAATTTTAATGGAAGTAGTATTAATATTAGTATTTTCAAAGTTGAATTTATTAATATAATAAATTCTTAATTATTTCATTATTTTATTTTAAATTATTTTATTTTGTTTAATCTGTTATTACTCAGATAAATTTTTTATATAATTTCAATTTTTAAATATTTCTAATAAATAGTACTATAACTACTCACATTAATACACTTTGTAAATTTTGATGTAAAAATATCATTTCATTTGGCAAATTTATAATAACTTTCAGAATAATATCTACAATTACAAAAATCATATTTTAATAAAAAAGTAAAGTTGTTAAATTTGATACATTTGATACATCATTTGTTTTATGGTTAAGATATAATAACAGTTAATTCTGATCATAATAATATATTATAAAAATTTTAAAAAAGTTTAAGTAATGGAACATACATAATACAAATTAAATAACATTACATATATTAAATAATGATATAAGATATAATATATATTACCATAAACATATAAGGCATGGGAATAAATCTTAATCTAATGAAGTTTATGTATAAATAAATTATCTGATTCTTTTTTAATTGGTTCTAATAATAGTTTATATATCATATATATGAGTAAGATATAAAAACATTAAATTTACATTAAATTTACATTAAATTAATTTACATTAAATAAACAATAAACATTTAAATCGAAAAAATAAAAAAAAAACTAAAAAAGGGTGCTTATAAAAAAATAAAGGTTAACGTTTTTTTTTATTAGTTTGAGTGCAGTAATGGTAAAATTGGATATGGCAGAAGGAGGAGGACTATAGAATCATCGAATAAAAGTAAAAACGAAGTGTGGGAAATGGCAATGTCAGTATTCCTAAGGGTAGATTTCGATCACACCCTTCTTTTTAACGAAGGTAAATAACAAACAGAATTTTATACTCAACAGATATTACAAATGCCATGAATGATAATGACAAAGTAATTGTATATTAATATTAGTAGTATTAATAGCATTAATATTTAAACAAACTTTATTGAATATAAAATACAATTATATAAAAAAAAAAAAAAAAATTACATTTATATATTTGTAATAACTTTTTGTAAGTATTAAATATATTATTGAATACGAAATCTGTTATTTTGTACTTGTTTATTTTATTTTGATTCATTATTAAGCATACTTTTAAATTTGAATTTTGTCGCGTTTATTCAATAATTTATTAACGTTTAATAATCCTGTAATTTTTATACATTTTGTCTTAGAAGTTTCTAAATTCATTCGGAAAGGAAAAACGCGTGAAAGGACTGTCAGAGCTGAAGAGATTGGTAAGCAATTTAAATACAACACCAACAGCGTTAAAGCCAGCAGTTCCACAATCTCACAAATTATCGGCTTTTTCCTGATGCTTCTATATTTTTGTTGAATTCTATAAAGCTTACATTAATTGAAATCAAATGATCGTATTGCTAAAACAAAAGAACTTACTAGTATAATGTATCGTAGGATGTTTTTTTATTGCTCTTTATTTGGAGTAAGTGTATTCAATATTTTACTAATATTGCATAATTTGTTTAAAATTCGAACAAGTTATTAAATATAATAATTGAAATCAATTACTTATTATAATCAACTTTTACTTTTTCATGTAAATATTATATTTCGAGATAATACTAATTATTTTATTGTTGTTGAATATAATAAAAGACTAACTATTAAAGATATTGCTTCTGAATCAGAAATGAGCACTTCAAACATATTTTATAGTAAAATACAGATTATATTAAAGATTATAGATAAAACAAAGTTTACTTTCAGAAAAGTTATATCTAAAATATAATAAGATTCATGTATCTTAAAAGCACTCTTTAAATTTTTTAAATCTTATAGAAAAATTAAACTAAAGAAACATCTTGCATATTAAACCACTTGTATGATATTAAGATATAAAAGATAATAAAGTATCCGATCTCTAGCGGTTGAAAAAGATTGGAAAGGATTTCTAGAATACGTTAAAAAATATTTATTATAACACTCTGCATTCAAAGTGTTCCCAATAGAATATAAAAATAACAATAGCTGCATAAAGATTATTCATATCATTACAATGATTACCAACAATATTTACATTCGGAAGATTCCAAACTTGCTATCTGGTATTGGTGCACTAAGTGCTGCTGCTAAACTTAATGCAATAATGACTCTTGTATCGATTGGATTAATCAGTCCATCATCCCAGAGTCTATTGCAGAATAGTATTATTAAATAATTATGTTAATGTGTTTATCTAAAATGAAATAATGATTTTACCGAGCACTAGAATAGAAGGCTGTACTTTCAGATTCTATTTGTTTAATAATTGGTTTTTTTAAATTATCCTGTTCCTCTTGACTCCACTAAAAAGAACATAATAGATTTAACAAGTATTGAATCTAACTAGGAAATACAATGCTTTTTTCGCCTTTTATTATTTAAAAGTTTGATTGATAAATATGAAATTTTCTTTTTATAAAACACAATTTAATTTAAATTAATTTAAGTATATCAAGTTTTCTTTAACAGCTATATAAAAAATAATAATCAACACCCTCATCCCTTATTAAAAATAAATCAAAAAGAATCAAATTAATCTTATATATACAAAGTGTAAATTGAAAATTGAAATTGAAATTAGAAAATCATTAAAATTATACTATTATTATAAAAAATTAAAAATTATATAAAAAAATAATTTCTTTAAAAAACTATAATTTAAAAACACCAGTTTGTGATAAAATATCATAAAGACTTGTGTTTTCCTAGTGTACTAATTTATAAAGAATGAAAGATCTAGAATAATTTTATTTTAATTGATTAAAATTGTAACCCGTAAATATATACCCCCTTTCCATCTCTTTTGCGCTGATCTTTTGTAATCTGAGCCATAACACTGGCTGCCTGTTCGCCACCCATCACAGAAATTTTTGCATTTGGCCACATGTACAGGAACCTTGGTGAAAACGCACGTCCGCACATACCTGTTGGAAGGTACTTTATCAAAAAATATAATTAATAGTTGAATATAAGTAATAACAGAGAAAAATATAATTATTTACATAATTATAATTTCTATGGAGATATACAGTAATAAAAATATTAAATTCTAGAAATTTCAATTTCACTTTTAAAAGATCGGAACAATAATATTGGTAAGTTACTTTTTACGAATACAAAAAAGATCAATTCATAGATCACCATAATTTCCAGCTCCATAAGATCCGCCAATAATAACAGTGATTTTTGGTACTTTCGCACAAGCGACTGCTGTTACCATTTTCGCCCCATTTTTCGCGATACCACTGCTTTCCGCTTCCCTTCCTACCATGAATCCTAAAAACAAATATTCATAAATTTTTAGAAAATGAACATAGTTGATAATTTTTTTGTACAACAATTATTAAATTATTAATATTATTCATTAAAATGAAATATAATGTAAACAAATATATAATTTGTTATCTAATCAAACTCTTAAGACAGCAATTTTTGCAAACAAATACATTATTATTTTCTTCATTCTTATTTGCATAACAAATATAAAATAACAATAGAGAGTTCTTATTTAATTTTTTAATTAAATATTATAAATAAGCTGGTGATTAATTTTAAGAAAAACAAGCAAATTAAGTAGTATTATTTAAAGTAATAAATATTTAATAAATAAATAAAAATATTAATAATATTTTCTAATTGTAAACAATATGAATTATAAACAAGATATTTATAATAAATGATTTTTTAAACTCGCAAAGAAAAGTAAAAATTGAGCAATCAATGGGTATATTAAGTACAATAATACCCAACAGCTTTGTATAGTTCTAAATAAGACTTATAAATTCTTCTATTTTTCTTTTTCAATATTTATTTCTAGATGAATTATCATCATATTAAGAATTTAAAAGGCAATCATTAAATAGCTCTAATATAAAATTTTTAAATTATACTCTTTCAACACCTTCCTTAATTTTATCGACTTTAATATTATTTCGTGTTTTTATTACAAATATTTATTGCTTAACGCAAACATGTAATAAGAGTCCGGAATAGATGTTAAAAATTTACCAGTAATATTCTGTAGAAAGACTAGCGGTATTTTTCTCTGAGCGCAGAGCTGAACAAAATGTGCACCCTTGAGCGCTCCTTCGGAAAAGAGAACACCGTTGTTGGCAATGATACCTACAGGGTAACCATGAATGCGAGCAAAGCCGGTAACCAGGGTAGTTCCAAATTGAGCCTTGAATTCATGGAAGACTGAACCATCGATGATCCTAGCTATTACCTCTCGTACATCGTAGGATCGCTTCAAATTAATTCCAACAATGCCATAAAGCTCATCCACGGCGTGTATCGGTGGCTTAAAATCACGATCAATTGTCGTATGAATATTGCGCTCTCGGTTTAAGTGTGATATGATATTACGTGTCAGCTTTAGCGCATGCTCCTCGTCCAAGGCAAAATGATCCGTTACACCTGATTCTCTATTAATAAGCATTGTTACCAACAGTCAATTTTTCCCGGGATGAATATATGAAATTATTTTATTACATAAAATTGCATTTCATTAAAAGATACTACGATAAAGAAATATGACATTTTTTCCATTTGCAAAATATTTATTTCATAATCCATTGAATCAGTTGAATAATCAATTGAATAAAATTTGAGTTATTAAAATTATTCTGTATATTGAACATTAAAATACAATTAGCAGTATATTTTACATTTAAATATTAGTAATTATTCCAGAGAATAAGTATTATAAAATTTTATTAACTAAATAATCACTAACTTTTAGTAATTTAATAATTTCGAATTTAATCCATTAATTATCCATGCATTTTTTAAGTATACAGTTAGTGTATATAATATATGTATTATAATATTTCCTTACAATAATTAAAAATATTATATTTTTACTAAAATAAACTATAAATTAAAAATTAAATTAATTAATTTATTCTTGAGACTAGAAATTGAATCATTTTTCTCTTAAAAAGGATTTTATTCTTATCTTTTTAATTTATATATAAAAAATAAATGGCAAATCATAATTTCGTAAAATATCGAATTAGAAAATTGTCTTTGCTAACTATTATTAAACTATATTACTTTTATGCTTATGCAGATCTCAATGACAGAATCAGTTAATAAAAGATTAAATTTGCTTATTTATTTCTGGAAAAGTATTAGAACTACTTAACTGTACAAAATAGTATTTTAAAGATAGAAAATAAAAAAAAAACCTACTGGCAGTGAAGAGTTGCACCACCTAAATTTTCAGCTGTAACTTCCTCTCCAGTGGACGCTTTGACTAAAGGGGGTCCAGCTAAAAAAATCGTACCTTGATGTCGAATTATTATATTCTCATCAGCCATTGCTGGTACATATGCACCACCTATAATGTAGACCAGAAACAAAAAAGTTCTTATTTCTTTGCTTCACGTACTAGCAATGAAATCAGTCAAAAGTTTAAAAATAAAGGTGTATATGCCTTTTAAAATCAAATTTATTAATACATAAAACATTTTTTTAAAAATAAACAAAAATTTATATTTATACATTTACTTTTCAAATTTTATAAATATATAAATATATAAATATATAAAGTTATATCTTGTGACAAAAAATCTAATTAATAAAAATTGTATCATAGAATTTCCTTAAGGACAATTAAAATAAAAGAAATTAAAATGACAAAAAATTATAAACCAAATTAAAAATTAAATAATTAAAATATAATTTAATATACATTATTTATAGTTTAAAATGAAACAACTTTTGAAATGAAGTTAATAATAAGTAAATAATAATATTAAAAAAATGGAACTTGGGTAACACATGATCAAAAGATTCAAATTATAAATGATGTACCAGCAGTGCAATTCCCCATTACAACAGCAATTTGTGGAATCCCAGCAGCACTCATATTTGCCTGATTGTAAAATGTTCGTCCAAAATGCATCTTGTCTGGAAAAGTGTCTGCCTGCCTAGATAGATTGGCTCCGCCACTGTCTACAAGATAAATACAAGGCAGCTTATTTTCTTTTGCAATCTCTTGTGCACGAAGCTGCTTTTTTATTGTGATTGGATAGTATGTACCGCCTTTAACTGTTGCATCGTTTGCTACAATAACACATTCGGTCCTGTAAGAAAAGCGTTCTTAGCTACCCGCTTATTACTCATAAATTTTTTAAGCCTGTTGTAAAATATTTTCATTATCATTAAGACACACACATTAAATATATGTTTCATACATAAAATCAAAACAATAAATAAAAGTTTTATCTACTAAAATATTGTAACTTCTGTAAAGATTCCAAATCTAATAATATTTTATGATAAAATCATTTGTATTAGTGCATATTTATATTTTTGTTTCAAATGTATAATCTGATACTATACTTATCGGTGGTCAGAATATTATAAGAATACACAACAAAATACTTCAAAAAAATTTTAATAGATTAGCATAATTTTATCCTATCTTTCATGTTATCATATTTTTTAATTAACATTTTCCATAACTTTCGGTATGTTTCACTTATAATTAGATTATCCTATAGTATAAATCATTAGAGTTACATTTAATAAAAATGCTTAATTATCAATTAAATGAATCCAATATCATTTTAATAAAATATATATATATTCAGCTTAAGAATAAATTATGTATATATAAAATATATAAAATACTTAAGAAAAAAATTATTTACTACATAGACTTCAATTTATTGTTCATTAAAAGAAAGTGCTTTATATTTAAGTTTTGTATGTATATTCAATAAATTTTGTTTCTATTAATCAGACTTATTCAAATACAAAATATCAATAAAATAATTTGTTTTAACTCTAATTATTTTAGAAACTATTATACTTTTCATATACACTCTTAAAATAAATTATCAGTATAATAAATATATTGTCAATAACTACGGTACCTTGTTACACGACCTATTCCAGTTATAATACCACCAGCTGGAACTTCTTCATTGTCATACATTTCATATCCGGCAAGTTGAGAAAATTCCAAAAAAGGTGAACCTTTGTCTAGTAGTAAATTAATTCTATCTCTTGGTAGGAGTTTTCCTTTATTAATATGTTTTTCTCTCGCTTTTCTTCCTCCACCTTCTACTATGTTTGCAACAATTGATTTTAATTGATCGACTAAAGCTTTTAGTTGGATATAATTTTCCTATAATATTATATATCTTATGATGTTAATATTATTATTTATTAAGTTAAATTAAAAACTTACATATTTCTATTAACATTACAAAAATTGAAGATATATTAATGAATTCTAAAAAACTATTATAATAAAAATGTTAAAATTGTAATTATCTTTTACTTTTATCATTATTTATTAAAAATATTCACTCTCTTTAAATAAAAATATGTATTCCAAAATTTATAAATTAGATAATCAAAATATTTCTATTCTTACAAATGATATTTGATATTGTTAAAAATTTAAGTACATAATTATTCTTCATTCATTTCCATAAAAATTTATATTTATAAACTGTATAATTTGCTTCATAAAAAATAATTTTATTATAACAAATATAATTAAATATACATAAATAATATATTATATACATGGATGAAAACAAAATTTAAATAATTTGAAGTATCATTTATGCTGATTATATTTCATAAACAATTTTTGTAATTATTTGTATAATTATTTCAATAAAAATATGTAACAATGCATTATTTCATATATAATACATATAATGTAAAAATATCTCAAATAAGTAAATATACAAATTTTTTACAATACAACTTATTTAAAAGAATTTGCTTTAAAAAATAGATTAAATACATATTAATAAAAAATCAATAAAATAATAATTTAAATTCTTTTTAAATGTATGAACTACTTAATTCATAATATGTACACAAATAATATCAATAGAACATAAATTTTACTGGATAAAGGCATTAGTAGAAAATTCTATTTTAATTTCATCTCATTACTAGAGTCATATTTCCACTTTCTATAACCTTATCACAAATTGATAACTTCTAAATGCTTATTATAATTAACCTGATATTCTGGTGAATTAATATCCTGTGTAGTACCAATAATAGAAGCTTTATCACAATACTTTCTTTTTATAATGAAATTGTTAATTAAATATATGATTTTTCGAGACATTTTTTTATAAATGCGACTTTATTTCTTAAACTAAAAATAAAATACAAGAGAAGTTTTTTGTAATCTCTATCTAAATACATATATAACCTTATAACCGTTAATTGTATATAAGAAAAATAAGTGGAGACATCTTCGAGGATATAAGAGCATCTTAAAAAATGTATACTTTTCAATCAATAAAATTTTTACATAAAACAAAATAATTATTAATCCATAATGTTAATCAGAAATATTTTACTATCTTACTTTTTATATGTTATATCATATAAAAATACATATTTAATATCTGTAAGAATTTTATTTACACATGTTAACTACATAACGTATAAAAAAATTAATTTTTTCAATTTTATTTCATTTTACAATATCACTAACAAAATTATTTTTAAAAATAAAATTAATATCATGATATAATTAAGATTGATATATAATTTAATAAAATATACTCAATAAGTGTATTTTAAATTTGTAATTGAAACAAACACAGAATATTATATTATAAATATAAATGCAGAAAAGGTTAAATAATTGATAAAATTTAAAGTAATATTTTTCATTTTTGAAATATTTATTTTGTGTAAGTATACAATAATTATGTATGGGCACCGCGGTTTATTTGCTATGAATTTAATTCTTAGAAACAACATAGTACATGAAGATATTTTTGTATATAATTTACAGATTTAATAATAATAGCTCAAGTTATTTATATAGAAGTTTCTCTGAAATTTGTGATAATTAAATGTAATTATTTTATTTGTACTCAATCGTATATAATATTTTATTTCTTTAAGAAAGAACGATTATTAAATGAGGATATTTTAATAAATTGACTATTTTTTATATTCAATAGACTTATAAGAGACCTATAAGAAACATTTATCATAATATGTATATGAGCCTTTAAAAGACATTTCTTAAATAGGATTTGTAGCATTTGCATTAATAAATTTTTTATAACTAACATAATCTTAATTATTAAATTAAAATAATATTTACTATTGTCTGAATGGAAAAATATGCTTTAATGCTTATAGATTTTCAATAATTTTGGTTGATGCAGTGATTTCTTTAATAGAATACAATTATAAATTATTTTTTAAATTACTATGACATTTTTATTATTCAAACAAAAACTTTTATTTTATCCTTAGATTTAGACAATTCTAAATACTTAAGTATATACTTTAATTTTTAAAAAAGTTAATAAAATTTTAATAAGAAGTTTAATCTAAAAATGTTATAGAGATGTTGTACTGCTATGTTTTAGACTTAAATGATTCTTTTTATGTAACTATTGCCTTAATGCATATTTTTTCATTCGGAATATTTTTTTTGTTTTTCATCGACGAATTATCATCTCAGTTTCGCATATCATTATTAAAATGGTATTAATACATAAATAAATAAATAAATAAATTTAATAATAAATAATAAATAAATTTAATGTTATGATTTACTTCCAAATTTAATTTGTTCTTATATTTATAAGTTTATATAATCTATAGTTATAAGATAAGATATATAAGTTTATATATCTTATAATATTATCTTATATTAATTCTTAATGTATCTTAATTTAACAAATAAATTTAAATAAATTAATTATTCGAATTCAATTTTATAATTATTCAAATAAAAAATCTCTAACTTTAAGTATCTATATCGTTTATGTATTCCTATCGTCATCATGGAAATTGGAATATCAACTAGTACATAACATATATGAATAAGTGGTTCTGATTATTATCATTGTTTTTAATTATTATTGTTATGAATGTTTCATAATTTATTTTTTGAGTAAAGTAATAAGTTCATGACCTTGCTTAGTTTTGTAACAGAATTCAAATAATTGAAATTAAGATACTTCCTTAAGATAAAAAATAAGAATTTAAAATTAGTAAAATAGTATAGTATTATTAACAAATTTTAGTATATTAAATATTTATTTAGATTTTTGAAATATTTTTTAATTGATAACATATATAAAAATAAAACAAACTTGAACAATTTTTAAATGTCATATAAACATTTTCAATGAATTTTATATTTTCTTTTCCTTAAATAATATATCTGAAACCCGTTATTGAAATAAAATGAATGAAAATAAGAAATGGTATTTTATCAATTGGAGTCTCGATTTCATTAATTTAATAATAAAAGTCATAAAATGCGTGGCGAATCAATCAGCTTCTTCTATATGGAATCAATTTAAAGGTAATTAAATAGGTAAAAAACTTTCCATGCAATTACAAACTCTGAAAATAAGTTTCAAGAAATGGCTCAAAACAACTCCCTGATTTAGTGTTAATATGATGGTTCGATTTAATTAATATTTAATTAATAATTTAATTCTGCTCGAGAAAGTTGGTACAGAATTAAAGAATAAGAGAAGGAGATTAAAGGTGGTAAATTATACGATGTTGAACCTTAATACAAAAGATTGGCATATCCAACAGCGGTATCTGGGCTTAACTGGGACACACTTGAAGCTTTACCCACGGGAGCGGCTGCTGGTGGTTCTAGTATTGGATATTGGTAGACTGGAGTCGGAGGTGCAGATACTGACTCCGGCATGAATTTCGCTGTAAATCGAACAGATAAACTATTAATCGAATTATTCTTCGCTTATTTCTAGTATCATATTTACCAGAGAAACAATACATCTAAATATATATATTGCCTTGGAGATCAAGGATTAGTGCTTATTTTTAGACGTCTTGCCGTCGGTTATTAAATTTTACCTATATTTTAATGAAAATTCTTTATTTCAAACTAAATTTATCAAGAAATACCGAGAACTTATTATATTATAATTGTAAAAAACTTTAATATAATATATTTATAAATTATTATATTAAGAAGGATTTAAAAAATGATATTGATAAAATTGATATTTTAAAAATATCAATATGAAATATTTTTATTATTTATTGATAACAAATTATTTATTTTTTAGACATATGTAAATTTATCAGAAAAGTTGAATGTTAAAAATATCATCTTCTTAATTACCAAACAATGATACTATACAACTTATTTGTAATAAAAATTTAGTTATTAAACTAAAGAATTATAAAAAAAATATAAAATATTATATAATACACATATAATAAATAATATAACAAAATTATTTAGTTACCATAAATTTTATAAATAGTTGTACAGAGATAATGACAAGTAAATTAAATACAAAAACTTAAATAATGAACATTGATAACAGAACAAGTATTTGCTTTTCATTACAATAATTGTATAAGATAAATTTGATTGAATTTGTTTTAAGGTAATTGTATATAGTACAAATAAAATCTTGTAAAATATTTCAATGTGTTATGTGTCTGTCCCACATTTTTACTATTGTATTTATTACGGTTTTTAGGCATACTATTATCTGTTATGATGAATTTTAGTTACCATTACATTTAAAAAAATTTAAATATAAACTAGATATTAGAAAATTTATTTTTAAGTGTAAAACATGTTTATCTTAATTATAAAAAGAATATAAACGATTTAAATAACTACGTATACAAATTTATCTAATTAATTTGATTAAAGAATAATAAAAGTGCTAAATATATTTCGTTAATATATTTTTATAATAAACATAATTATTATATTAGAAAAAAATGACAAAACATGCACAAAAAGAAATCTGTGTCATGCACATTCAAAATGAATAATTGTTCCTTACCCAGTTTTTGACGAGTTCGAATACTTTATCAGTTATTTGTCGTGTTTTTCAGCTTATTCTCCAGCTTTATTTATATTTAATCAATTATTATTTTATAGTTTCAATTTTATTATTTACGTAATAAAAGGATATGAAATATTGGAAAAGTAATAATAAAACATTAAAAATAGTTTTTTCAATAGCCATTTTATAATTATAGAAAGGAGATCACCTATTCTTTGATCTTAAAATTGTACACATTTCCTTTTTAAATATTATTGAATATTTATTTATAAATAATGCCTAAACCACGATAGTAATAATAAAAGTAAATATATTTATATCGATAATATTCGTAGGATTAAAAAGGTAAATATAAAAATATGATGCTCTTATTACATAGCTGTTTTTAATATATAACACGACAAAAATAAGAAAATATCATTTATATTTATACTGAATTATTTTCTATCTTAAATAAATCGAATAAAATGAAAAGCAATAATATTAAATTATTTTTCTAATTTTATAATATTTAATTACAAATCTTTAATATAATATTTTTTGTAAATCTTTATTATGATTCACGAAATAAAAATGATAATGTTAAATAGTACAATAAATTACTATTTTATTTCTTAATTTTTTTAAGAACAAAATTAAGTGATTAAATTATATCACATCGGGTTATTGTAAAAATTGTAAGTTTTGAGTAATGAATTACATTTTATACTTTAAAAATGTTCTCTAGATTATTTGGAAACACTGTTTAACAAACAAAATTTGAAAATAAACTAATACTTCAGAGATTATTTTCTAAATTTATTCTTTTCTTTTCTAATGTACATATATTTAATGTAACGCATTATTTATCTAGCATCTGAATTTCATTCTCCATTACCAATTTTTTACATAAACAACTCATCCAATTCGTTCTTGATTTATTTTTCATATTCTTACACTTAGCATTTTTATGTACGACCTTAATTGATTAAAAATCAAATAAATACATAGAATATTCAATTACAAAAATACATGCCTTGCGCAATAAAAATGACTTTATAGTAAAGCAACAAATAGAATTCATAGAACAAATTTAATTTTATACAATCCTTTTTTATAGTGGTGTAATTTAATATATTTAGTATTCCTTGTCTTTTAGAATTTATTGTGAAAAAAATTGTATTTTTATTTTTTTGTGTAATTGTAAAATTTATTTAAAAATAAGATACGAACAATTTACCAATAAAGCATTAGTATCTAATATAGCAATAGTATATTTTTGCTTATTATCATATTTCTTTTTTTTTTTTATTTCTTTTTATATTATAACTAGTATCAATATACATACATACATATATATATATATATATATACCATGAGTAAGCAATTTGTAAAGATTTACGACTGGTTATACAATTAATTATTTTTCAGAATTATCATCATAGATGGTTCATTTGATTCAATTATTCGATAACAATTTCAAAGCTCAAATTTTGACAAGAAGCTAAATGAATCATTAAATAAAATCTTTAAAAATCTAATAAAAATAGCTTATAAATATTATTACTTTGTTTTCAGTTTTTCTCTTTTCTACATTGTACTGTATTTACGTTATATTCATATTACAATTTTATTCATTTTTATAGTTCAGACATATTTATAATTATACTTATTGGAATTTTTAACATTATATAGTATATTATTATATTTTATCAAACAAACTCACAAACAGGTATGTAATAATAAAATAAAATTATAATATACAAACATTATATTTATAAGATGAATTGTGTAAACTAAAAATGGTTTTATTATTTTACATTCATATAGCTATAATAAAAAGCCGTTATACCTATTCGAAATAAATTAATGTTTTTCTCATTTTTTATAATATTGATCTTTATATTCTTATTACACATTCAACATTGTATATTTAATATTATATAGTATTAGAACGCAATTATTGCAAATATGAATCATGAATTAATTAACTTCTTTATATTGATGAGTTTGGTTTTCTTGCAAATTGTCTATACTAAGCCAGATTAAAAACTAATTAATATTTTTATTATTAATAATCCTATTCTTTTTACTTTGACTCTGTTAATTTAATTCAGATCTTGTATTTGAGATCATTTTGTACAGTAAAATGATTGTAGGATCTATCTAAATATACAAGATAAGCACTAATTGTTTTGATAGCTGCACTTAAAATTACTATTAAATTTTCGTTCCCTTTAAAATAGAAATTAATTTATGTATTCAATTCAGAGATGAAAATAAACTTCGAAAACATGAACATTTTGAAAATAAAAATCAATGCATTTTAAAAAGATTGAGATAACATGCTCATATTTTTTTCATTTGTCTTGTTGATTGAAGCTTCGTTTCAGAAATTTAATATCCACACCATGAAAGGCATCCTATTACAAGAAAACGAGCTTATGTTTTTATTTGCTATTCTGTTTTAATTTAAACCAAGAATACAAGTGCACTATGTTAATTAGGTATATTGAAATAATCACATGAGCGGACATGTTTCATATGCGGGAAATCCAATCAGCATTCGTTGTGTGATTTATTTTCTATAAGAATAAGCATAGTTTTATCCTCTTAATTCAAGTCTAATAAAATAATCAATATTTCATTTCATTTTAGTTAGTTCACAATATCTTCTTCGTCCTCGCTTTTTGGATGTATTTCCACTTTAATTTACTCTGCGCTTTCATTTGATGATCTTCACAGTCCTCGATTGATGTTGAGTCCTCTATTAATGTTCTTTATTTCCTTTTTTACATTATTTCTTTAGTGAATATTTCTTATCCCCCGTTTCTATTTTTTCTAAACCCGAATATATTAATTTTTAATGATTATTCGGAGTCGTTTCCCCAAGTGGTGCTCGCTGAAAATAACACATCCATAGATTTTATGAACTGTGTAAAATAGTTAATGGACGAGTGTTATTTTTATGAGCCATTTCATGTTAAAAAAATTATAAGCTTTGCATGCGGATTATCAAATTTTGTAATTATTTTTTTTTAAAATAGATACAAATTATAATAAATTATCTGATTTGTTTTTCAGTTACATGCAAAGTATATCAACTAATTTTCGACTTGAAAGTAACTTACTATATAAATTATATTTATATGCCTTTCTTTATTTGTGAATACTAAATAAAAATATTACGTGTGTTTCAAATAAAAAAAATTATTTGAATATGGTTTTATTACATTTTTCAGTATATTATTATAATAAAAGGAGGTATTTTTTCAAATTAATCAAAAAGCAAGGTAAATTAAAATCTTCTTTAATGCAAACATACTATATCTATAATATTAATATTGCATATTAAATAATGCATAAACTTCAATCAAAATTTTAATTAACAAAGTACCTCAAATATTTTGATTGTTCAATCATAATATATACAAATGTAACTATAATAATAGTGCCATATATACTCAATTTAGTAAATCAATAATTATTTATTTTAAATATTTTTAAAACATTCATTAATGATTTCACTTTTTAAAAAAAATTCAAATAATTTTAATAATTGATGGGCAATTAATATCTATATTGTATACTTATTTTAAAATATATATAAACATGCATTTGTTTAAATGTAGCCATGCTGATAAATTTTATTCCTATGATATTCAAATAAATTTTCATAAATACTCAATTTATATTAAGCGGAACTAGAATTTATATTCGAAGAGTCCCAGTACATTATTTTAATAGTATATCTGAACAAGTACAATTTTTTTGTATTTTTTCTAAAAGTGCAATTAATATTAGTTTTTATACTTATAGTTAATACATGAGGCATATTTATATAAGAATATAATTAAAGATATAGAAAATGTTTATAAGGTATACATAATAATTCTTTATTTTTTTATATAATCATATTTGAATGATTATACTATTTGTTATTTTCTATTTAATATTTTCTATTAATATTTAATATATTAGTAAATTTTATTTTCTGTTCTCGTATAATCTGACATAAGTAACTCTTTAAAAAAAATTTTGCCTACGGAAAAAATCAATTAAATAATGATTTTTGTTATTTGATTTCCTTTCTAAATTGAATCGATTATATATAAACAAATAAATTATTTTACATACATATTTATTATATAATGAAAAATGGAAAAATAATATTTATAAAAAAAAGTTAAAAAATACAAATATTGAAACTAAAGAAAAAATAAAGCTTATCGTATTGAGTAGAAGGTATAGAGGTAAAAAGTCCTGAACGAAACTTAGCATTAAAATAATACAGAATAGAATAGATAATGCAACAACAAAATCATCTCGTATTTTATTAAAAAAGTTTATTTCGTTAATATTTTGACTTTTCAATTTTTGATCTTTTTATTTCTAAATTTTATTAAATAAGATGATTAAATAAAAATGATTAGATCTATTGTAAATTTAATAATTTTACTATAAATGACGAAATTCGTTCGCTGGGACTAGCTTCGAACAAAATATAAGATGTGGAAAATAAATTGAAATAGACAGACACATAACATTTTAAATATCCCAAAATATGTAATATAGTAATTTACATTATTCAACTTTTCTTAATATTTATGTTGTACTTAAAAGCAATGGTAATAAGAAAGTCTTCAATTTGAAAAGATTATTTAGCTCACAGAAATTGGTGTCAATAAACTCATTATATTTATTATAATTATTTTTCTCTAATAATTTGTAGTAATTCTGATACATTTTTTATATTTTATAACATATCATTAATGAAAATATACAATGCTTACTTTAATAATTAATTACATGTTTTGTTATGATACAGAACATTTTAATCGTTTTTATTTTTAAATAGAAAAAAATGTAATATGTTAAATTATGTAATTTTGCATTTAATTAATATTCTTTTGAAGTTCTTAAACTATTACGTATTATACTTAACGTATTATAATTTTGAATGGACATCCAAAAAGAAAACAAAATTTTCAAAGCTTATTCTTTTAAATTTGAATTTATGATTGTAGCTTTATAATTAATTTTATTAATTGAATAATCTTATACACGAGTTTAATAACTTATATTCTGATTATTGATAATTTGGGTAAAAATAAAAGCAATCGATTTATCTCATGCACTTATAACTGAAACAATAAAGTCGCCACAAATTGCACCATAAAATTTACTTTATGTATCAGCAAATACAAAAATTATTTTTGTCAAAAACTCGTCAACACATTATTTTATAAAATACAATAATACAATAAATCATTAAATGCGCGCATCCACGTGCACGCGTATGTGTTGTAAATACAAGATTGGCAGCATAACAGATAACCAGTAATTTCTATGGAATGTTGACGTACAGAATAAAATTTATATGAAATTAAAGAAAAGCATACAGTACAATGTAATAATCAATTTAAAATTTTAAAAAGATTAATTAATGGTGAGGTAATAATCTACACAATGAAAAAATAAAGACAATGTTTCGTATGCCTAACTCACTCACACACATCCCTTCCATTAAACAGCACACCTACATGAAGTTTCCTAAACGAAAAAAAAAAGAAAAATAGAAAATCACACATTATAGGTGATTTTTCTTTCAATAAACAAGATTAATGCGTAATAGAAAATAAAGTACATAAAATTTATAACATGGATTTATTGAAATATGCATGAATTGAAATATGTAATATATTTGTATAGATAGATAGAACTTTTATGATTACAAGATTAAAATTCAGATTTTATAATTATATTTAAGTTTCTATATATATTGTAATAAATTTCAATTGATTAAATTATAAGTATCTACAGATTTTATAAAATAAAAAAAAATTATAAATAAATTTCTACGTTAATAATTTATATTTCAATTTGCAATTTCAAAAACATTATTTATTAGCAAGAAATTTAAGTAGCGTTAGTTTTCTCTCAAAATCTCTCAATTTACATTATTCTTAATGTATAAAATGATTGATTGTTACATAAAGGCTTCATTAATAATATTTTTCTTCTTAAAAATCACTAATATATTTTCAATATAACTACCAAGATTAAAATTTTTATTGAAAATTCGTTTATGCAAGTTCGATATAATAATATAAATGAATATTTTACAATAAGAATACTACCTGGAAAGTAATGAAAATTTTAATTTATAAATGTTATGAAAACTATAATCAAATAATTATTTTATAGAAACGTTAAAAAAATATAACATTTACACGAATTTCCGTTGTTATAATAAATGTAAAGACTGAATAGACTTAATTGATAAGTTCGGATGACAATTTTCTATGACAATTTAATTATATTTAATATACAAAATAAATGAATGAAACCTTGTGTCAATTCAAAAATAATTTTCCTTTATTTTAAAAAACAAAAGTAATTTTAATATGATTAAAGAGTTGTTTCTAAAGGAAATTAATAAAAATCATTAATAACAAGTTGACCAGACAAAATTTTTAAATAAATCATTAAAATTTTTTTAATAAATCAGAATAGAAATAAATCAGTAATTTATAAACTATTTTATTGCTTGATTGTAAATTTAATTTTGATTTAAAGCTGTGATGCACTCTAAATATTGTTATGAATTTTGAGCAAAAGTTGGAATTTGTAAGTGACCAGTACGGCGACATACATCGACGTATACATACATTTCATTTTGGACATTGAACAGCTATGAGTTTTAAAGGTAGCTTTTTAAAGCAAACAAATTGTGCGTATTTTACTTACCAACTATAATGGCGAGCACAATTAATCCGATAACTCCCATAAATATCATCATCTTTAATGATAAAAGTAAAAAACTATTAATTGTATATCACGTGTTTAGATATTTGATTAGAACAAAAATTTATCTAATATATTAAAAAATTTTGATTGAATTCTTATTGACAGGATTATTTTAAAAATACGATACTTATTATTTCTAATAATTTCGATTTAGTTCATCATATTATAATATATTGTTTTACAAATAGATTTTATTTTTAAAAATTTACATAAATATGTCACAGAAAGTACACTAAAAGATTTCCCCTAATCGCATGGCAAAGGTATTACATAAAATAAGTAATACTTGGAATAATGTATAATTAAAAACCAATACTAATTAAAACTGAATATAGAAATGTTTATATTATAAGTTATATTGCAAATAAAATTATTATATTTTTTAATATATGCCATGTTAAAAATAAGTGTCAAAGTAATATTTTATTTTCTTTTCTACACCGATTAAAAATATTTCATTGAAAAAATTAAAGTTTAAATTTATTAAAATGTAAAATAAAATCTCATTTTTATTAAACATTTTTAAGTTTTATATACCAGTCATATTAATTGTAAGATTAATAATAATTTTATTAATCTTTCATTATTTTTATTTTACAATTATGGATGTAAAACTATATATAATATTTTTTTATGATATAATTTATTTAATGAGTATAAAATTTCAAAATGACAAATCAATTTCAAAAGAAAAGTGCGAATTATATATAATATGGAAATTTATTTTATAAAGTTGAATAAACTATTTCATTAAAACAAGATCTTTTAATAGTGTACAAATCACCTTTAAATTTTGTAGCCAAAACTTCCTCTTTAACTTTCCAGCTTGCTGTTCAAATTGAGACGCACCTTGTTGGAGTGCATCTAAAAAACCGAAGAACAACAATTACACTACATTTCAGTACTTCATAAAAAATTTTCATTCTGATAAAATTTTGATAAAATGGGCAAATGTTCTATTTCATTAGCTATATACTTTTTTCTAAAATTGTAAAGCAAATATTTTATACAAATTTATTGAATTGAAAGCGTGCGTAAATGAAATTCGCACAAATTTAACTTTTCTAAAGAAGAATAAAATATCTAAGACAGATGCATAAAATTTCAATCTTATTATAATCAATACAATTTAAAAAATATGGAAATGGCTGATTAAATAGAAACTTTGTTTTCGTTTGCAAAATTTTCTAGATTCTATCAAATGCTGTTATGTTTATATAATTTTATTAAAAAAATTAATTATATGTTTTAATTATTGACTTTGATAATGTCATCAAAATTATGTTACACTTTTATAACTTGACTATTTTTATTATATTTATATTATGTTGATGAAAACAAAGAAATACAATTCTACTATTTATATTAATCAAATTTAATTACTGGCTAATGAACTTTTGTTTCACAAATTTTAATTAAATAAAAGTTAGATAAATAATTTGTTTATAGGTTTCAGTATTAACAAGTATATTTGATAAAAAAAAGTTAAAAATTGAAACAAACATACACAAAATGTGTACTTACACATATCATTTAATACTAAGTACTTTTTAAAATATATTATTTTATTTAATAAAAATTCAAGCACGTGTCTTATATGTTCACATCTTGTACTCTTGATGTTTTGTTCATAATGTTTTAAAACATAATAATCATATAGTTCAACATTTTTTAGTGATAGATTTATCTACAATCTTGTAGCAAAATACAATAATATAATCGCTTTTACGAATCAAATTGTATATTGATTAAAGTACTGGTTGGTTCGCTATCATAAGATAAGTTTCTCTATGTGGGTAGTATAAAATTTTAATAAGTTACTTTAAACATATTAGCCTTTACTCATTTATTAAGGAATTACAATATATATATATACATATATACATATAAAATCTGAATATTAATGCATAATATTATATCTGTGTTGTTAGAAAAATTAATTTCTTAAAATTTGTTATCTTAGAATTATCATAATATTTCATGTAATTTACAAGATACTTAAGTTGAAAAGTGAATTTAGAATATAAATTTTAATCAAAAATTATTTTCTACTGTATATAGTTAAAAAATTCATTTATTAAAAAGTATACATTTATTAACATGAATTATTAATTGATAATTATTCATCTCTTCATACAACATTTAACAAAGTTTTATTTTTATTTATTCCTTTTAAATTTATATTTTCTTTTACATTTTGCATAATATTAATATATAATAGATTTCATTTAAATGTATTTAGACCCAATGAAAATAGATATATATTTAAATTCTAATAATTCAAAATACTTATAAAATTAATGTAAAAATAAAGAAAAGAACTGATATTTTATATGAGAAATAAAATGAAAATTATTTTAATTAAAATCTAAAAGCTATGATTTTCTCTAATATAATGACTTAAATAATGTATGATTGTTAAAGTATTTATATTAAGATATAAATATTTTTTAATTTATATTAATAAAACTTAGTTAATGCAGTATTAAATAACATATATAGTATAATAATAGTTCAAAATAAGATAATAATGGATCTTTTATAATTTTTATCAAAGGACAGAAATAAATAAAGCAATATGTAAACAAATAATATATATATACGTATACATATTGATTGTTGAGGATCATATTTATTGAATTTTTATGTATAATTTGAATATGTAACATATTATTTAGCTTTATTACCTGCATTAAAAAAATACTTCTATAATATATGCCCAATTGCATAAAATTAGAGCGATGCACAGAGTTGCCAGTGATAATTACAATTAAATTTTAGTAGATTTATATAAAATACTGCAATTTACTAAATCAGTCTTTAAGCCGAAGCCTCCTTTCTCTGCGATCATTCTTATCATCATTTGGTTGTGACTTAATAGCTCTCGGATAAGGCTCCATTATTGAAAATATATATATTAAGAAATCCTCACCAGCTCGATCATCGAGTTCAGAAAGTTTCTGGTCTCGTTCAAGAACTTTCTCAACGTTAGTCTTCATGATATCGACAACCTCGTCGACTTGCGCCTGAGTCTGCTGCAACCGTTTCTGTGCGGCAACCTGCTGAGGAGTCCTTGGACCACCTATGATGCCATCACCACCAGGAACTCCCGATCCCACGCCACCTGCCACGTCAGGAACAAGTCCACCCCCCTCAGTTGCCCTGTAACATTTATTAGATGCTGAAACCTTAGTATACGCTTTGCAATTCTTTACTATTAATTACTTTCTTTCGAATCTTATTCATAATGCATTACATATTTCAAAGCATGGTTTTGAATGAGATGAAGTAAGTAAATAATTTTAATTTTAACAGCTTAACAATATTAGATATTAAACATTATTTTTTTATATTTTATAAGCAGAGTTTCATTTACATTTATATTTTTATATAATATCCATGTGTTTCAAATTCGAGCTTCAGGAATTGAATCTTCCTTCTAATTTTGTATAATACTTATGAATCATTAAAATATTAATTTATAAATAAAATGTTGATAAAAATTAAAATTCTTATAATACATTAAATCATGTAATCAATAATCATCCAATTGTTTCAATTTGTTATACATTTATTTATATTTAAAAATTTTTCTTCTCAATAAAGCAGTTTATCTATTATTAATTCTATTTTATTCTTCGATCAAATTAAAATTATGAATTGTATCTAGTTATTTATCTAATTGTAAAAAAAATCTTTATTCATGAATGCATTAAATGTATAATTTATTCATTCAGTTTTTAATTGAATAGACATTTGAATACTAATATATTAAATTTAAGCTATGGAGGTACCTTTTTTCATAAAATAATAAATACTACAATATTATATTATCAAATCTTATGTTATGTAATCCGAATATATCTATTCAGATTTTATATAATTGATTTAGTTAGATAAAAGAAAATCTAAAAAGAGAAGCTACTGTCTATTACAAAAAAATACTATATGTTACAATGAATAAGTATTGCTATACATTTTTAATATTAGAATACCAGTAAATATTTCTAGTATAAAATAATATGTAAATATTTTCGGGAAATTTCTATTTTGGGATTAAATAACTACTCCTTTTATTAATTTTATGTATGAACTTTTAAAAAATGAATCAAATTTTAATCATTGTATAAAATGATACGAGGCGTCAGTCTAATATTATTTTATATAAATTATATAAAGATGATATAAATACTGGGTTAATATTAACATACTAACTAATTTAAATTTTTAGCATTTATTTGATTTCAATTAGAAACAAACGTTAAAACAAGTCAGATCTATATTACTTTTTTTATTTGTAACCGTTCATTCTACTTATTGTAATGAATAACGACGTTTAGAAAGATACATATCAATTACATGGTCGTTTAAACATTTACGATATTTTATGGTCGAATCAAATACACTTATTTGAATAATAATCATACAATTAAATACAACAATTTCTAGTAAACATCGATATTTATTTTAATGTTCTTTTCACTAAATTTGATTTGTTATAAAATAAATGTTCCTTTTTTAACTAAAACTAAAATAATTCGGATACATTCAGCTTATTCAGAATGCAGTTAATGAATATTTATGTTTGATAAATGTTACATGGAAAATTTATAGCTTATAGCATATAATAAAATAGAAATATAAAAATATTTCGTCATATTAGTATTTAATCTATACACTTGTAACTATTGGGAAGATTATAAAAATATTTTAAAAACGTAATTAAAAAATTCAATAATACCATATTTTATTTTATTTTATTTGCTCATGTGTTTATAGTAAGCACTTTCTTAATACGAATTTTAATTTTTAAATTTAAAAGCCTACATAAACATATTAATACTATTTGACTTTAAATCTTGTTGACAATGATATTAAGTATATATTTGAGTTGTTAAAGCTTTTAAGACTAGCATGTAAATAACAGCACATTCACTAGTATAATTATAAAGAATAATAAAACATTAATGCATATTTTTACCATCTGCATAAAACTAATATCATTTTCAATTTAACACGTATAATTTTAGTTTTTTTTGAAAGCATAATTAATAGACTAAGTTAAATAAATCAATAATTTTCAATAAAATAAATGTATTAAAAAACTTTTTGAATCGAAGTAAAGACGTAAATATTTTAAAAATATCACAAATACCATTTAACTCAACGCGTTTATATAGCAGCGATTTCATTGATTAATATAAATTTATTGTTTTATACTATTAAATACAATGATTTTAATTTTAATATCAATTGAAATTATATTATTATTTCATTAAAATAAGCATAATTTTATACATTTAAAAAAAAATCATGCAAAATCTTATTCTAATTTTATTTAGAAGGTTAATACTTATTACATTTTTATGCAGTAATTATTATTGATTATTATAGCAATTATTATGGATAAGAAATTATTTTGGTTCAATTACACATTTAACACAATAATATTTATAAATAATATTAATAAATTTCAAGAAAAGTTAAACAATTTTTTTGTACATATTTCACGTATTTGATAATTTGTAAAATTATTAAAAATTATATATTAGTTCATGAAACAAACTCTTCATTATAAAGTAATTTTGACAGATATCTAAAAATACAGAATTCAGAATTAATAAACATTAGTAGCATTTTTAAAAAAGAAAAGTATATTTTAGTGTGACGCCAAATTTTCATAAAATAAAAACTATATATGCAAAAATTCATACATTATATATATATATATATATATATACCTATAAGTATTTTTATTCTGACAGAATAATCTTCTTCTTTTATTTCATAATAAAACCTTAAAATACAAATTGTCAGGTAATTAATTAAACCTACGCTATAAGTTTATTCATTTTCTTAAAATTTAATTCTCAGAATCAATAAAGTAATTTTCGAGATATACAATGAAGTAGAAATTCATAATATGGAGTATTGCAGCTATAGTTGCATTATTGCAATTGTTTAATAAAATACATTAAAGGATAAACTCGAATGCTACAAAGAATACTCCAATTTCAGAACACTGAAAGACTAAAATAAAAATTTCTCAGATAACAAATGCCTATTTTATTAAAAAAAAAGAAACTTTGTTATAGATTAATACACTAGTCCTAATTTTCCCAACATGAAAACTGAATAGAGCTTAATTACATTCCAGTTAGTTTTGAAAAATCTCGTACTTATTTATTAACATTCCGTAAATTATTAATTTTCGTAGGCTAATGAACGAATGTAACAATTAAATAAACAGCATTTTTATTAATTTTTCAATTTTTTTATGCGATTCTTTTATCATTTTATCTTCAATCAAAATGATATTTCCCGTCCTACAACCCTTTCTATCGAACAACCGTCTGATTAAGTCGTTCCGTTTTTCTTGACTGGCTTCGCAAATTCTTTTCATTTTGGCGCTATTAGTCATGGCTATTTTCCTCTTTGATTTTACACATTATGCTCGGATGCAATTATATGCACTTTATAAACAACATTCATTTGTATAACATCGATCAATTTCGATCAGGCCTCCGCGAATATTTGTTATTATCCAGGCATTTCAGTTTAAGCGATCTAAAGTTTCTTTAATAGATTCTCCAACTGTCATTTTATTAAGTATTTTCAGAAATTAGGCAGCATTATTTTTTATAGTCGATAAAGATCTTTATACTTGTAAAAAAGGACACGGCAGGTTCGATCTTCAAGCGAGAGTTGAAGGCTGCGCGAATCCTGCAACGGTACAATGCGCATCCGCGCATATATATATATATAACTATATGTAAATGAAGATCAATGTACACACGCAAATATGAGCAGGGGAGTGAAGACAGGGGACGATATGTACGCTAATAGGTTAGACAGGTTTAGGAATCCGTACTCACATTATGGACAGGTTACTGCTATTTTATATAACAAATAAGCGAGTGAGCTTCGCCACAACCTCGATTGGCTAGTATAACTCTTCTTCGTTTCTGTAATGACAGCAACAAATACTACACTGACTAAGACCACTCTGGTATCATCAAAAACCCCTCACTAGTAACTTTTACTTACTACTACCGGGTATTGATGAATTTTCCTCGAGCCGCCGTCACCGCCACGAACGAGAACGACGAGACATTGCTGCGGGCGCCCTCGCTCGTAATGTATCACACAACTCGTACGATATCATTTGAATTTTCCCGCCAAAACCATATGCACTAAAAAGTCAATAACGCATGACCACAAATTTGCTACCAAGGCGAGGAAGTTTTAACGATCACAAATGCGTCAAGGAAATATAAAAGAACACTAAAAAAAGGTAGCGTAATTGGACTGAGTATTTATATAAGAATACTAATTATAATTCGTTATTGTCAATAAGCAAATGAGCTATAATCCCAATTTCTTTTTATATTTAATCATACGCATACTTGATCCAACGTTTTTGATATTTGACTGGAATTTAGTATGTACTTGCCTGCATAAAGTAAAATTATGCCTCTACAGATTTTTATAGATGAACGACCAGCATATAATTTTCTAATAATAAAAATGATATAAAACAATATAAATTTTAATTAAATATGGAACTTCTATACTTTCCCTTATGTTATTTTATTATATAAACACAAAGCTGATGTTTAAATATACAAATCCATTTTCAACTATAATTTAAAACGAACCATATTACTTTAATCAGATCTTCATTATATAAATGATTATACTTTAATTTTTCTATCTACTTTTTGTAATAACTGTTACTCTATTAATGAGAAAAATTTAAACTATTTTTACTATTATAACTATGGCAAGACGCATAATAATTACATTATAAATAACTAGTGCGAATTTTGAATTTAAAATTAATAATATCTTTGTTAGTACAAACATTATAAGATTGCTATTTAAAAATTTAGCATAGTATAAACAATTTTAAATAATAATTCTTTTATTTTTGTACAGGAAATATATATAAAAATAATAATTTCCAAAAAGCTTAGAAAAAAAACCTACAATAACTATCAATTTTTTGTAAAAATAAAAAAGAATTATAAAATACATTATAATTATTACTATATAATAATTTTTATTATACTAAAATTTCACATAGTTCAATTAATAAATGATATCTATTAAATGGATTAATTTTATTAATCTAACTAAAACATTATAATTTTATATATTATATTCTAGAGTCCATCTTACAATTGACGCGTACTAGTCTTGTAATTAAATAATGTTTTGCATATAAAGTTAAAGGTTTTAAATTAATTTATTGTCAATTATAAAAATTAATTTTATAAATTAGAATATATAAGATTATATATATAGTATATATAATAAAAATTTTGGGATAAAGTTAATAATAAAACAGATTTTATTAGAAAGAAATTTTTATTTACAATTTTTCTCATACTTTTATTATTAGTGTATTGGGTAACTAATAACTTATTTAGAACTAAATATCTAAAAATAAAAATAATTTCAATATATTTAGTTAATTAAGTATTTTATTTGTCTATATTCATAACATTAAATATAAGAAAATAATTATTTTTCAAGATTTTTTAAAATTTTTTGTTTAATACTGCCGCGAAAAATTAATAATTTATTTCAATTATATTTATTTATATCTTTTTATAATTCTATTTATTCTAATTGCGTATTTTAATAAAAAATATAGAAAGCGTAGTCAATCTATTAAAATGGACTACATATAAATTTTTCAATTATATTTTTTACCTATTGTGTAATAAAATATTCATATATAATATGTATCTAAGACCATTATTTCTTCTAAAATTTTATATTATAATATATTTTTCGGATTATATAAATCATATGAATATTCCGTAACAGATTAATTTATAATTTTATTTTATATTGCTCATAATAAAAATATCAAAATTTTATTTATGCTAATACATAAGAAGAATTATACGTAATAATTCGATTAATTTTACGCCACAAAATATCGCCATCTTTAAATAGCAATAAAAAAATATGCAAGAAATAACGACTGTGGAAAATATTAAATCTTTCCGATAAATCGCCAACGCAAGCTAATCCACATATAAAATGTATCCATGAAAGGTGGATAGTATACGGAATCAATTTCTTTCAAGTGACTTGGTATCATCAATTCCTAAAAATAAATTAACAATACTTACATATAACTTCTTTCTATTCTGATAATAATCTGAAATATTTGAAGTCGTAAGTTATATTCAATGTTTTATAGGCTAAAATAATGAGAAATCCGTAGAAAAGCTTAATATCTTGAGCAATTAAAGAAAAAATATTTACCATTTTGAGAAAGCATACGATATCATTTATCATTACTGTTTATTTTTAAGCATGGTATTTGAAAATTTATATGATTCATCAATTATTAATCGTATTAATGTTTTTGAGGTTATGGATGTTTTACTTTAAAACCAGTATTAATAGTTAGATTTTTTAAGAAACTCGGACACAAGAATAATCAATGTTTTACTAAAATAGGAAAGACAATCAATCATTTTTATAAAAAACAAAATTATTTATTTGTAATAATTATTTAATATGAATATGTAAATAATTCCTATTAGATTAAAAAATATATATATTATTTTAGAATTAATATGGAAGGTAGGACTTACTCATCTGATGGAGACTTTGGAGTAAAACAAGCATCTGTTTCAAATAAAAAATTACAACAAACACAAGCCAAGGTTGATGAAGTTGTTGGAATAATGAAAGTAAATGTAGACAAAGTCTTAGAAAGAGATCAAAAATTATCTGAACTTGACAATAGAGCTGACGCGCTGCAAATGGGAGCTGCACAATTTGAGCAGCAAGCAGGAAAATTAAAAAGAAAATATTGGTGGAAAAATCTTAAAATGATGATAATTATTGGTATTATTTTTCTAATAATACTAGTTATTATTATTGGTGATAATATTACATATACTTTATTAAATAAAAATAATAATACCAAAATTTTTAATTTGTAAATATATTATTATAGCGTCAATTGTGCCAAGTTCAAGTTCTGATGATTCACCAACTGGAGATAAATAACAAAATCATAGATTTAAGACTATACTATTTAGATTCAAAGCATAAGACAGTACAGTCAATACTATTAATTGACATTTATTGGTAAAAAATATATTTTTTGAACATATTTTCTATCTTAAATATACAAGAATTAAAATAAGTGTAGTTTTTAAGTGAGCACATAAACAAATAGTTTTTACATTTTACTAGAAATCTAGGATTTGGGTCTGATTTTTTTTAATAAAATAATTGGTTACGATCAATTTGATGCATTTCAACTTATGATAGTTGAAATTTGTATTTACAACATATGATTAATATTTCATACAGGATATAAACATTATATTCATGCAAGTAATAATGTATTTTGTATAATTTATGTATAGCAATCTATGTTATACATAAATTTATTAAATAACAATTTAAATATTTCTAAACTTTAATAAAACAATTTATGTAGCAGATAAATATTTTTGTGATGTAATATTGAAACAAACACGAATGTTTAGTTAATAAATTTCTTTATTTAAAGCTACACTATAGTGCAGTAATTTATCATTTATTTTGATCCAAATCAGCATAATAAAATTCCTCCATAATTCCTTGCTTAACAAATGTATCATGAAATAAATATTTATTATATATTATAAAATAAATAATTTGTAATATTACGGACAACTTTGAAATAACAAGGCTAAGTAATTTATATATTGTTCATTAAAACAAAATTGTTTATTATTTGTGTAAAAAAATTTTATAATCTAAATTTGGTATGTGAACAAAATGATTAAATAGACATCAATATAAAAGTTATTCTGGCGTAAAAGAATCTGTTTAGAAATAATACTATTGCACCTAAACAGTACATAAGTAAATAATCATTTTTAAAGAAAATGTATAATTTATATACAAATGTTTACTATGAATTTTTCTTATATTTCTTAAATTATAAATGGAACTTACATTATATCTATGTATTAAGATTTTTATTTATTTCAATTTAAATATCAATTAAATAATAGATAAATAAAAATAATCATTAAATACATTTAGCGAAATTCCTTGTTAGTGTTTTTAAATTTAATTTAATCAATGAATTTTACACTGATATACTGAAGTAATAGTATAATGTAGGTATGTGTTGTACTGAAAATAAATATATGTGCTTTTTATAATTGTTAATAATAAAAAATGTATAAAAGATTATTGTTCTGACATCATAATAACTATAGATTAAAATATATTGTTTATGATGTATACTCAATTCAATATTTTGAAATTATGATCCATATTTTAATATTAATCTTTTCAAATATAATTAAAATATTTATACGATATACCCATATAATTACTAAAGCTTTTATTTCTGTTTAAAATTAACTATACTTTATTTATATAAAAATTTTAATTTATATTAAAACTTTTTCTTATATAATTGACTATTCAAATATTATTAAAAATTAAATAATTAAAAATCATAAATTTAATCGAACCAATTATAAATTAATAAATTTAGATAAATTGTTTAAGACATTTTACATTTTTAAATTCATAAATCATTATATTAAGTTTAATTAATTATTTTAATATCGTTTTCTTTTATATTTTTATAAAACTAAATTATTATTTAATATTATAATTAAACGAATTTTAATACCTTTTATAGACTGTTTTAATAAAGTCGATGTTTAATAAACTATAAGTTTTAGAATATAATCTTTCTTTTTTTTAATAAAATATCTGATTCGTGAAATTTATTTAACAAATTAACGAAAAGCGATGATAATATTAATTTAATATGTTTAATATATTATATTTTAATATTTATTCTAACGAAATATATATAAAAGATATCTAGTAGTTTTACTTATAATACTGTACTTAAATTAATTCATTGCTTTAATAGTTAAGTAAAGTTAAAACATTAATATTAGAACTAAAAAATAAACAAGCTATTCCTTTATTAATCAAGGCGATTAAATAATTGATACTAATTATTTTATTACATAATTTGACAAATAAAAACATTTTACTTTACAGATGTTGTACAGGTAGACACTCTAAAATTATCAAATTGTGAAAATAATAAATTTGTATTCATACAGCTTTTCAATTTATCTATTTTTTATTTATGTGATCGATTTAGAAATAATGGCATATAAATAAATTTTGGAAAACCATAAATTTTATAAATATTTTTTCATTTATTCTGATTAGAAATAAATTTCAAATTTAATTTAACTAGATATCTATTGTAGACATAAAGTATGCATATCTGAACTGAATTAGTGATATGCAATCAAAATAATTATTTTAAAAACAAATCAAATAACAAGATAAATATTATTGATATAGTAATATAGTGAATATTAAAAAATATATCGTATATTACTAATGATTATTGACTGAAATTCTTTTTGTAAACAATTTGTACCAGGAACATACGAGGAATTTATGACTTAATATTGATTATAATTATAAAATATATTTGCGTGTAAAATACAACACTAATATAGTAGAATATGTTAAATTTATGAAGTTTATCTATAAAATAAAAATAAAATACATCAATGCATATTTTTCATTTATAGAAAGTTACTAAAATTATTTTTATCTACATATTTATTTCTTTTAAATATAACTAAATTTACATATAAGTTTATATTGTTTTAAATATTATGAAATGTTTCAATTAAAAATGTTTTTTACTAATATATTTAATTAACATGAATTAATATAATCTAAAATAATAAAAATCAATATACTGAACTAATTGATTTACAAAAGTTTAATGATCCGAAATAATAAACCGAAGGTGAGAACCCGTTGTCATTAAATAATAAAAAAAATAATTTACAAAATCAATTTGTATATCATATTTTATTTCAGAACTATAAATATGCTAATAAGACTACATCGTTCTATGATAAAAGAATTTCATATTATATTATATTAATTATTGCATTATATATTTTACATATGTAGTATTTTTTATTCTGCTTCAAATATATTGATTAATAATCTTTTAATGTACAAAAAAAGTGCTCTAAAAAAATATTGAATTTATATATTTTGAAATATATATAATTCAATAGTTTTAAAACAATTAATTCACAGATTTTCATTTTCAAATTGTTTAATAAAATACTCTTATTATAAAAATAACATTGACATAATTTCTATATCATTTAATAAATTCAATAGACAAATAATTTGTATATTATAAAGTGGGTAAAATGTACTAAATAGATATAATAAAAACTTAAAAGACTATAGAACAACATACTAAGCGATCATATATGGATATTGAACTTATATAACATTACATATTATGTATCATAGCGTAATATGAATTCGTATAAATTTTGTAGTGTTGATGTTCTTCCAAAAATTGTATTTTATACTGTTAAATTATTAAACTTAACATTTAAAATATTTTAATAATATATATATATTTACTTATATATTATGATAATAATTACTCAAGTAACTATATATATGAAAAATAATGAACACCTACGTCCTTCTAAAACCTCTATATACAGATGAACGTATTGTTCCTTTTAATTTTTTTCAAGGTTCTTAATTTTATTTATATTGATAGTATCTATTGATATAACGTATATGTACACTGCAGATCAGTGCTTTATTTTTCTTACTTTGCATAATTATAGTAGAAATCATTGTGCGTGAATTTAATATTTTATTTTATATGGACATGCATTTATTTAATCTCACAATAATTTTCATTTTCTTATAAATTAAAAATATTATAGATTCATTAAAAAAAAATTTAATAAAACATTTTTTAAAATGTTTTAATATTACATTAAAAAATATCTTAGTATTTCTTCAAATTAAAATTTGCTTTTTTGTCAGACAGTATGAAATATACTAATCAGTTTAATTTTAATAATATTATAATTATCTTTTTATATATTTAAGATTTGGCATATAAAAGTAAATATTGACATAAAATAAAATATTATATATATATTATATTTACATTAATATATTTACATCAAATTATACACTTCAATGAATATAATGAAATCTTATATTTATATCTGATTAATTGAAGGATTTATTGTTATAAGAATTTAGGACAAATAAAAAATTATTTAAATTAATATTTCAAATTAATAAATGAATGTAACTATTTTAATAAAATAATAAACTTATTATTTTTTCACACCGTAAAAATATTCAAATATAGCCAATTAAGTAATGAATAACTTTATTAATAAATGCAATTATGGGTATAACAATATTAGCACATAATCAATCTGAAAATTAATAATGGAATTAGAAACCAAAACTTTTCTTAAAATTCGAAAAATGACATTGTTAAGTGAACACATGTGCTGTTTGAAAATGAAAAATAAGATAAAGAATGATGAAAAAGGTGAAGTAATAGTATTGTTCACTTTCAGTCTGTGTAGCAATATTTTGAATTTCCCGCAGAAAACGCAAAAAATCTTAGGGAGGCAGAAGACTTCTCCGTCTCCCTTTCGATTTCATATTCATTAATTCATTATATCAGTCGACTATCACGTTTCACACTGACCAGACATGATGTGAAAAGAGTGAAAAAAAATAGCGCACGAATGTCAATCGTAAATAAACACTGCCTTATTTTTATTTTCCTCCCCTACTATTTTCTTTCATCTCCCTTAATTTTTTTGTTAGAATTACATAACCAAAGTGTTATCTTACTATTAGACCATTTTTTAATCAAGAGGAATTTGAAATATGTCAGAATATGACAGAAATACTTTTATTAAAATATTTATCTTTTCAATGACTTACAACATCTAAATGTCTAATAAAGGCATTATTTTTATTTTAATAATATCTTTCTCACTATTTCAAACAGTTTTTTAACTATAATGAAAATTATCATTTTTGGTAAACTAGAAAACTAGATTTATATAATTCTACAAAATAGAAAATTGTCATTCGGAAGTATACTCTAGTTTATTAAACAATGTGATTGAATATAAATAAATATATAGAATAATTTTTATAATATTTTGCTGTATATAATATTGGATCGGATACAACGAAAAAGAAATAACTGTTAATTTTATTGCCATAATTTTTTTTTAATGTTTAAAGTATTTGATTATATTTAGTTTAAGTTTTCATATTTATTCAAGTAATAGAACCTTTGTTTTGATAAGAAAAGGTTTAAATTATAAACTTTCACTAATAGTTTTAACATGAAATTAAATTTTCATTAAAATTATACCTGTCATAAAAAAATTTGGTAATTATAAATACCGATTTTATACAAACTGTTTTATTACTCTGAATAATAATACTGATTTTAGAAAAGAGTTCGTATAATTTTTAGCTTATGATTTTCCAGCATGGCAAGGCGATGTCTTTAATGTGGGAGAGGCAACTACAATGCTAATAAGTTTTCATAAAAGAGTAGCATATACTCAGAACCGAAAATGAATAACTCAAACAGGTATCATCCCCCGAGTACAAAATAAAGAAGAAGGGGAAAATCAGTCTGAAACGAAGTAGAAGAATAGAGGAATCCCGCGATAAGCCACAATCAACAAATGCCTGCGCGAATCCACCTATCTAAAAACAGATACAGGCACAGTCACGTAGTGCCAGTAGAAACTTAAAGATCAAACGCGACACGTCTTTATAAGGACTGCGAAAAGCTAAGTTTATTGAAGACGGAAAGAAAAAGACAAGAGATAGAATGCGATGGCATATTTGTGTGTACATGCACATACACACGCATACAAGCGAAATCAAGGTTAACATATAATAACCAGCTGGGACATCGTTCAGTGATAAGTTAGCTTGGAGAGATATCGAAAACATCCGTCGCAATTTCGACATTAACGAAGCAGACCAGCAGTGTGACGTCGTGTATTCGGACGTCAACTTGAACAACCGAAGTAGAACCACGCATGCATATCTATCGATTTCTCAACAAAAAATCGCGCAACTACCGTCAAGCGTTAGTACACTAACACCGCACCAAGTGTTGCCGAATGCGAGTCTTAATAGTATAGTCCACATTTCCAGTGCAATGCACCAGTAGCAAATTTTCAAATACAAAGTGCCGAGATGATGTCCAGTAAAGATAAAGGAAATTATGGCCTCGGCTACCAGAATACATTGGTAAGTACATTTAATCATTATCAACGGAATTTTGTTTCAATTATCGGAAGTATAGCGTAATAAGTTCTGTCTCAAAATTAATAATTCATATCAGCTAGTGATCACGTAACTTTTCGTTTTTAATGAAACTTTAAAGTGTCTACAAATTTAGATACTTCAAACTACTTATATAATCTCTGACTCAATACAAGTAAATTAGGACATAGTTTCCGATTATTTTTGTAAAAACGCCGATTTTCAGATCTTTCAGCATTTTATAGAATTGAATACATACCTACCATTTAGACTGATCTTTTATCATACTCGTTTATAAAACACTTGAGTAAAACTGATGATGACAAAAGATCTCAAGAAGGTGAATCCTAGATCTCTATGTTTACTGCTCTATTTTACTGATATTTAGTTACATTTCTTATTGCTGCCATTAAAAATTCCGGTGTGCCATTGCCCTTTTCCAAGAACCATACTTTATCCTTATTTTTAGGTAGTTTATATGGAGAGTGTCTTTTTTACTCGACTTAACTAATTTATGTGGTTGCAATATTCTCTCAAGAAATTAAAAATTTTTCTAACCCGACATATAACTAATGTATTATTATTAGTAACTTCATACACTATTCAATAACGAAGAACATCATAATTTTACAAAAATTATTATCAAGAAATAATTCAAACCTAATAATTAATTTATAATAAATGATAACTTTATAATTCATTATTATTAGACAGATGGAACGTAAAATAAATGTTATAATAAAGTTATAAAAAATAATACTTTAATTAACAGATTCTTTATTCGAGAACACTTAAATTTTTTTGTAATAATAAGTACTTTTATGACAATATAAATGTGTGTTAAATAAACATTATATGTTTATTCATATATAACTATAAATATTTGAAGTTATTTAAATACTTGCTTTTTTATTCTTAAACTAATATCATTTGAATTTTATGTTTCATATCAATCAATTTGAATAAATAACAAAAAATAAAGGATTGTTGAAAATAAATAGTAGTAAATTCTACAAATCGTTTTAAAAGAATTAAAATATATCTTTAAAAAATTCCAATTGTATTTATGTATACTACACATTTATATACATACATTACATTCAAACTAATTACAAGTTATGAACATAGACATTTTTTAAATATTCTTTCTTTATAGAACAATTTCATTTTAACTTTTTTTATTCCTATTGAACTATATTTATTTATTATAGTTTAAAGTATATTAAAATTGAATTTAATATATCCATTTCATTTTTTAAATAATTTCAATATCAAAAAAATTAATATTTGTTCCAATTAAAGCTATAACATATTGAAAAGCAGAAAACTTGTCATAGCTTATGAGAAAACAATTTTTAATTTATAAAATTTAATAAAATATACTCAAAATGTAAAACGTTCCATTTTTTTATAGATTTCAGATAACATTTTCCAATGATTAGTAGAAAACATAGTTTAATATAAATAGATATTTCAATTATTAAATAAAGAGTAATTACCAAAATAAGAATAAAAACATGTTTATTACAGATGATATTGATTCTTTAAATATTGAAATTTTCACAGCATTATTATTATCGCGTACACTCGATATTTCTCACATTATATTATCATCATTAGACTGTGTAATCAATTACTCTTTGACGTAAAAGATCACGCTATGATGACGTAACATTTAACATTATCATTTATCTTTCCTACTTATTTTATCTCACATAAAATCATCCATATTAAAAAATTTCTATGAAATTTCATACTAATTCATACATCCTTCAAGATTACTTTATAAGCACAATTCTAATTATAAACTTTATTTAAGTGTTTTTAATTAATATCGATTTAATATTTGTCAAAATTTCTGATATTTATGGACATCTAATAAATATTATAATTATTTTTTACAATATAAAAATATAATACCATATAAAAAAAGTTTCTCTAACTGATTCTGTAATAGACAACATTCAGTCACTCAATTGTATGTATATGATGATACGATGATATATAAAATAATCATCAAAATAATCTTTCAAAAGACTTTAATTATTTATGAATAAATATTTTATGTATACATAAGGTCAAATTTATTTTAAATTTTATGATTTTAAACACAAAAAAATTAATAACGGAGTTATCTTAATTTATTAATAAAAAACTATTTTAACTCAATCATCTAGTCATTGTCATATAGAATCTATAATCAAAAAAGTTAATTCTACACAAAAATTTATTATAATTACAAAGAATAATAACGCTTACTGAAAAGTTTCTACATTATAAAATATTTTATAAGTTTTATAATATTATAGAAGTAATTATATATGCGAAACATTAATTATTAATAAATTCAAATTTACTACATTTTATTTTTCATTAAAAAAAAAACCAAATAAATTAATAATATTCTACATAGTTTCCATTTAGAATGACATTTAGAATTTTATATCTTTATTACAATAAAATGAATGTATTTGCTATTTAAGTAATAATCAATTCTACAATTGTAATTTACTCAAATTTTAATTATTATTTATTATAGGAATTAATAAAAAAATTTTAATTTTATAATATTATATTAAATATAATAATGTGATTATTCTATTTTATTATATTTACAAAAATATTACATAATAAAAATAATTAATTAGATCGAGTAATATGCAGAAATAATTTCTAATTCAATAGTGTATCAGATGAAGATGTATAACAAATTTATTTAAATTAATATTTTCAAAATTTGCCTTTAACTATAATAACTCGAAAGACTCATTTTAAAACAATTTCTTTGTTTGAACAAATACTTACCATATATTAAACAATTATCATTTTTTTAACATTATTTAGGAGTAAATATTTATTATAAATATATTATTAATTATAGTAAAAATTATAAAATCGAAATATGAAATTAAAATTTTTGAATTTTGAATTTTATAAATCTATAAATATTAAATTATAACTATAAATGTTCAAGGTTGCTTTTTTCTAAGAAATATGAAATAATTAATATAAAGTATTAACTATTTAAATAAAAATTACGAATTTAAAACAAATTGTTTTATTAATTAAATTATTATTAAATTATTTAATTAAAAAATTGGATCGTTATTTTACGAATATAGATTTATGTATTCTATAGTAAAATTTATAAGAAAAATTAAAAAAAAATATGTTAAAATATCAGTGGTAATCTCATTAATACCTTTAAAAAGTAATATCCTCATTATAAATATCAATTTTATATAAAAGATATTTTAATTAATTCTATTAGAAACCAACTGCAGTCTATCAGAAAAAAATATATTGTGTTAAAATATAATCAAACATTAAATTTCAATAAAGTTGTTAAAACAACCATGAAAAGAAGGTATATTTTAATAAAAAATAAAGATTTAATTAATGAATTTCATTAATAATATTTAATTCAATCGTAATATTTTCAATTATATATAATGAAAAACTAATAATATTTTTACCAAATAAACGTTTTATAGTTTTAAAAATTATAAAAATTATAAAAGAATGCCTGAAAAGGTTTTATTTTTTAATTATACATTGAAATAAAATTCAATGTAAAATAAAAGTATTCATTGTAAATTAATTAGAATTGTGACTTTAGATATTCATGCGTGTGAATACAATGAAAAAATATAATTTATAAAATAAAAATTAATTTTTAATGTAATGTATGTAAATATGTAATGTATTATACATAAATTATAAATAAATAACTGAAACAGTATTTCGTATTAAACTCTTAGAGATTAACATATTTCCTATTGATAACATTTTATATTAAATACTTACACTGTAAAATTAATTCAATTAGGATAATAAAAAATGTTTAATTCAATAAAATCTTTTTTTTATTTAAAAATAATTGAAAGAATTTATTTGCTTAATAATTATTTCTATTTAATTTCAGATTATTTTTCTTTGATTATTTTAATAAGTTCATCGTTTAAAAGTAATCATTTTTAATTCAACAGTGTTTATAAAAAATGTTCAAACCAGTTATTTATAATGTTTTTCAGACTATATATTTATGTTTGATAATGTAAAGTTGTATAAAATTATATACTTATATTTTATAATATTAATGTTTAATTTTCAATTATACTCATCGATATTATAAAGATTGTATATTATGCATAATTAAGTTATAAAATTGTATGTTTTATAATAATAACTTGAAAAAAAGTATTAATGAATAAGAAAATTTTAACTATAGACTCAAAAAATTCTGTTAGTAATTATTATATAAGTATATCATATAAAGAAATATACGGTCGCTTATACTAAATCTATCTTCACCCCTTTATATTATTTAAAAAATAATAAATCACTGAAGTATACTTTGAAAAAATCAAAATTTTTAGCGGAATTATTATGTTGTTTTTTATATACTCAAGCATTTTTAATACATTCAAAATTTGTGATTGTAAATAGTAGATTGTATATAGTTCAATTTTTTCAATTTAAAATTTTTCTAAATATGTCTTTTACGAATAATGTAAGCTTGATTACATTCTTCTCTTATTGATCACATTTAAAATTTAATATACGTTAAATTGCTACTTATGTTCTATTATTTTGGAATATGAACATCACAAATTTTTTTTACTATAGATATAATCAAGTTTCATTTGATTTGGTTTTCATTTTATATATTATAAGAAGGAACTTGCATGCGAATATATCAGTTGAAATTATTTGTATTATAGAAATGAAAACAAAATAAATTAATATATAAATATAATCATTTGAGAAGTATTTTTATAGTAATTACACAGTATAAAATATCCCATATTTTATAACTGAAACAAAGTATATTCTTATTGCATTAATTATTAAAAAAGAGTGTTATATTATCATCGTCAAATCATGTGATATAACAATTACTTATTAAAATTAATAAGTTTATGTTGTAAACTAAAGAAGACTATAATATGCAACTTCAACATAATCTTAATATTTTAATTATA